GGTTCCAACTCAAAAACATAGCCCGCATCCGCCCCTTTCTTACGCAAGATGCTACCAAGGAGCTTGTCCATGCTCTAGTAATTTCCCGCATGGATTACTGTAACCCTCTCTTGATTGGTCTCCCCAAAAGCCGTATTGCCCCGCTACAGTCTGTAATGAATGCTGCAGCTACACTGATTTTCCTCTCTAGTCGGTCCTCTCACCCCTCTGCCAGTCCTTACATTGGCTCCCTGTATGCTATAGGAGTCAATTCAAAGTGCTAACCCATACATTTAAAGCACTGAACAATTCTAGCCCCTCTTATATCTCTTCACTAATCCATAGATATGCCCCTCCTCGTACCCTCCGCTCTGCCCGTGACCACCTTCTGACCGCTGCTCGCACCTGTACGGCCAACTCGCGCTTGCAGGACCTCTCGCGGGCGGCTCCTCTCCTATGGAATAGCTTGCCTACTGACATCAGACTCTCCCCTAGTCTTCAATCATTTAAGAAGGGCCTTAAAACCAATCTCTTCAGGAAAGCTTATGGCCTCCCAGAGTAATCTCTACCTTACATACCTGTCTCCTGCTCTCTCCTATGGGACAGTGCTTTGCTCTCTCCTCCAGCTCTGCTTCACTCCTACTTGATATTTCCTGTTCTAATACCCCTACCTCCTATAGTCTGTAAGCTCGTTTGAGCAGGGTCCTCTTCAACCTATTGTTCCTGTAAGTTTTCTTGTAATTGTCCTATTTATTGTTACATCCCCCCCTCTCAAAATATTGTAAAGCGCTACGGAATCTGTTGGCGCTATATAAACGGCAATAATAATAATTAGTAATATTATACTATATAGACATTATTAGTAATACGATATAGACATTATTAGTAATACTACACTATATAGACATTATTAGTAATACTATATAGACATTATTAGTAATACTATACTATATAGACATTATTAGTAATACGATATAGACATTATTAGTAATACGATATAGACATTATTAGTAATACTATACTATATAGACATTATTAGTAATACGATATAGACATTATTAGTAATACTATACTATATAGACATTATTAGTAATACGATATAGACATTATTAGTAATACTATACTATATAGACATTATTAGTAATACTATATAGACATTATTAGTAATATACTATATAGATATTATTTGTAATATTATACTATATAGACATTATTAGTAATATTAAATAGACATTATTAGTATTATACTATACCATATAGACATTATTAGTATTATACTATATAGACATTATTAGTAATACTATATAGACATTATTAGTAATATTATATAGACATTATTAGTAATACTATATAGACATCATTAGTAATACTATACTATATAGACATTATTAGTAATACTATACTAAATAGACATTATTAGTAATATTATACAGACATTATTAGTAATACTATACAGACATTATTAGTAATACTATACTATATGGACATTATTAGTAATATTATATAGACATCATTAGTAATACTATACTATATAGACATTATTAGTAATATACTATACTATATAGACATTATTAGTAATACTATATAGACATTATTAGTAATATACTATATAGATATTATTTGTAATATTATACTATATAGACATTATTAGTAATATTAAATAGACATTATTAGTATTATACTATACCATATAGACATTATTAGTATTATACTATATAGACATTATTAGTAATACTATATAGACATTATTAGTAATATTATATAGACATTATTAGTAATACTATACTATATAGACATTATTAGTAATATTATCCTATATAGACATTATTAGTAATACTATATAGACATTATTAGTAATATTATACTATACAGACATTATTAGTAATATTATATAGACATTATTAGTAATACTATATAGACATCATTAGTAATACTATACTATATAGACATTAGTAATATTATATAGACATTATTAGTAATACTATACTATATAGACATTATTAGTAATACTATACTATATGGACATTATTAGTAATACTATACTATATGGACATTATTAGTAATATTATATAGACATTATTAGTAATATTATACTATATAGACATTATTAGTAATACTATACTATATGGACATTATTAGTAATATTATATAGACATTATTAGTAATATTATATAGACATCATTAGTAATACTATACTATATAGACATTATTAGTAATACTATATAGACATTATTAGTAATACTATACTATATAGACATTATTAGTAATACTATACTATATGGACATTATTAGTAATATTATATAGACATTATTAGTAATACTATACTATATAGACATTATTAGTAATACTATACTATATGGACATTATTAGTAATATTATATAGACATTATTAGTAATATTTTATAGACATTATTAGTAATATTATACTATATAGACATTATTAGTAATATTATACTATATAGACATTATTAGTAATACTATACTATATGGACATTATTAGTAATATTATATAGACATTATTAGTAATATTATATAGACATCATTAGTAATACTATACTATATAGACATTATTAGTAATACTATATAGACATTATTAGTAATACTATACTATATAGACATTATTAGTAATACTATACTATATGGACATTATTAGTAATATTATATAGACATTATTAGTAACACTATAATATATAGACATTATTAGTAATACTATACTATATGGACATTATTAGTAATATTATATAGACATTATTAGTAATACTATACTATATGGACATTATTAGTAATATTATATAGACATTATTAGTAATATTTTATAGACATTATTAGTAATACTATACTATATAGACATTATTAGTAATACTATACTATATGGACATTATTAGTAATATTATATAGACATTATTAGTAATATTATATAGACATCATTAGTAATATTATATAGACATTATTAGTAATACTATACTATATAGACATTATTAGTAATACTATACTATATAGACATTATTAGTAATATTATATAGACATTATTAGTAATATTATATAGACATTATTAGTAATATTATACTATATAGACATTATTAGTAATATTATATAGACATCATTAGTAATATTATATAGACATTATTAGTAATATTATATAGACATCATTAGTAATACTATATAGACATTATTAGTAATACTACACTATATAGACATTATTAGTAATATTACACTATATAGACATTATTAGTAATATTATATAGACATCATTAGTAATACTATACAGACATCATTAGTAATACTATACTATATAGACATTAGTAATATCACACATTATTAGTAATATAGACATTATTAGTAATATTATATAGACATTATTAGTAATATCACACATTAGTAATATTATATAGACATTTATTAGTAATATCACACATTAGTAATATTATATAGACATTACTAGTAATACTATACAGACATTATTAATATTACACATTATTAGTAATACTATACAGACATTATTTATACTATACAGTAATTATTAGTAATATTATATAGACATTATCAGTAATACTAGTAGAGTATTGCACATTATTAGTAATATTAGACAGTAATATTATATAGACATTATTAGTAATATTATATAGACATTAGTAATAATACTATATATTACACGTTATTAATATTTACTGCACATTAGTAATATTTACTACACATTAGTAATACTATATAGACATTATTAGTAATATTATACATACATTAGTAATACTCTATATTACACATTTTTAGTAATATTTACTACACATTATTAGTAATATTATATAGACATTATTAGTAGTACTATACAGACATTATTAGTAATAATACTATATATTACATATTAGTAATATTTACTACACATTATTAGTAATACTATATATTACACATTATTAGTAATATTATACAGACATTATTAATAATACTGTAACACATTATTAGTAATATTTACTACACATTAGCAATATTATATAGACATTAACAATACTATAAAGACATTATTAGTAAGATTTACTACAAATTATTAGTAATACTTGTATAGAGTATTATACACAGTAATACTAGTATAGAGTAATTATTATTACACATTCACATTAAATGTTTTCACTTCTGTCGAGATATCTGTAAAAGCTTAGTTTGGAAATAAATACAGGATAATTCACTGTATCATACGCCCCTTTCAGGCACAGCTGTGACTGACATTTTTTGCAAAACAGTTTGGCTAACATTAAAAAAAACCAAAAAACTGTAAAGAAATATAGTGTTATTTTTTTTGTTTTTCTTATACATTTTTTATTTAAAAAAATGTTCTGGTAGGGGAAAGAGATACAGAAATAAGAGTCGGGGAGGGGGAAGGTTTTGCTTGTCACATACATTACATAGCATTTTCGTCCTGCCACATGTACCACCTTGGGGAGGTGACAGCAGTGTGTTATAAGGAGTGTATCCTGGGCACCTGGTGGGTCACACTTCTATTGTAGTGAGTTCATCTGCCTATGTTGTGGGGGTTTCCCTTTGCTGTGTAAAGAAATATAGTGTTATCTGCTTACCAAGACCCATACACAGCGGTATGCTATAGATTATCTGTACTTGGCTCTTTGTGTACGTGTGTGTGTATTAAAATAAAAATTTGCTGCGGCCCCCCCATGTGACATCACAATGCCCCACCCATATGATCTGCCATATGAACTAAGCTGCAGTGGTTCTGGGGACTATAGTGTCCCTTTAATGTGAGGTAAATTAGATATTAGTGTCACTGATAATATACTAGATTGCCTACTTACAACCAGATGGTGATGGGCTCTGGCTCCACTGGTCTGGTGTAGAACAGGATCTCTGTGTGGTCACAAAATTCAATGTTCTGGGTGAACGGGAAGCAGCTCCATTTTTTGGAGCCCCTTACACAGCTCAAGGTCTGGGCCCCAGGGCCTGACGGTGAGTATGCCCATAAGGCCCACCTAAAAGTCCACCTACATGTTCGCTCACAGGGAGTGCAGTGTGTAGTGGATCTAATGTGTGTGCTTATGGAATGTAGTGTATAGGGATACCAGTTTGTGTAGGTGATGCAGTGTGTTTGTGTGTAGTGGAAGCAATGTCTGTTTGTGTATAAGGGATGTGTGTTTCTGGTTGTTTGTGAGGGATGCAGTGTGTGAATCTGTGTTTGTATGTATAAGGGATGCAAGGTGTGTGTCTGTAAGTGTGCGCATTGAGTGTGCGTAAGAAATGCATTGTTTCTGTGTATATGTAAGAGAAGCAGTGTGTGTGTAAGGGATGCATTGTGTGTTTCTGTGTATGTGTGCAAAGGATGCATTGTGTGTGTGTGTGTGTGTGTGTGTGTGTGTGTGTGTATGGGATGCATTGTGTATTTCTCTGTGTGTAAGGCAAGCATGTTGTGTTTGTGTGTGTGTAGGGATGCATTGTGTGTGCGCGTAGTGTGAAAGAGCTCCCTGGCCTATAAAGCTCTCCCTTCTGTCCCTAAGAGCTCTCCCCTGCACCTTAGTAGTCTCTCCTCTCCCCCCACCCTCCCCTAGCGGTCTCTTCTCACACCCATCCACCCTCCCTGTGTTCTTCTCACCCCCCCACCCCTCCCTGTGTGCTCCTCACCTCCCCTTCTCACCCCCTGTGTTCTTCTCACCTCCCCCTCCCTGTGTTCTTCTCACTCCCCCTCCCTGTGTTCTCATCTCCCCTTCCCCGTTTTCTTCTTACTCTCTTCCTCCCCCCTTTTTTCTTCTTCTTCTTCTTCTTCCTCCTCCTCCTCTCCCTCCCCCCTTCTTCTTCTTCCTCCTCTCCCTCCCCTCTTCTTCCTCCTCTCCCTCCCCTCTTCTTCTTCTTCTTACTCCTCCCGCTCCCCTCTTCTTCTTCTTACTCCTCCCGCTCCCCTCTTCTTCTTCTTACTCCTCCCGCTCCCCTCTTCTTCTTACTCCCCCAGTTCTTCTTACTCCCCCTCCCTGTAGCGTGGCCTCTCTCCTCTCCGGTCAGCGGTACAGGAGTTTCTGTTTCCTGTACCCGGCCAGACTGACGTGAAGTGCACACTGAGTGAGGAGCTCGGCCACACTAAAGGGGAGGTGAGGAGAGGAGCTTGGCCACGCTACAGGGAAGGGAAGGGGAGGTGAGGAAAGAGGCAGTGCTGCAGCCGCCTGATGCTCTTTACAGAGCACTCAGGTGGCTGCAGCTTTTAAAAGGCCGACAATGGGGGCGCAGGGCGCCCCCTCCTATATGGCGCCTAGGCGGCTGCCTAGTTCGCCTTATAGGAAGCGCCGGCCCTGATTGGCTCAGCCTAATGTCATCAGTAATGATGATCTTAGAAGAGGAGTAATGGATGCAGTGGCAAAGCCAGGGCAGTGCTGGCTAAAAGGTGAGGAGGAGACTTTTTTTTTTTTTTAAATCATGCAACTAAGTAAAGCGTTTATTAGCTCATGATTACATTTCAATCCCCTGGTGTCCGAGTTGTTGTATTTTTAAAACTTTTAATAGCGTGGATCCAGTTATCTTATCGGGGACAAACAAATCTGCTATAAATAAATACATTCATAATGGTAGTGTTCCTTTAAACCATATTGAATTTAATCTATATGTTGTGCTAGTTGAATTTATAGATTTTATAAAAACATCAAAGTAGAGAAAATGTCCCTTCCTCCTTCTTTTAAAGCAGACAGGGTTATGATGTTGACACCGCACATTTGTGTGTTGTTTGACAGGTGCCAGGTAAAGAGAGGGAGATCCGTCCTCCAGGGAGTTCGGCTCCCCGCTCAGCTACCACTGTGCAAACATTGCTGTTGCTGTGGTTATCCCAGGTTCATGTGAGACTACATGCTGCTGATGCTTTACCAAGGGGATTTAGGAAGTGTATTGCAAACATCACTCCTTTCACACAGACATCATATTATCGCCCTGCATTAGGAAGTGCTGAAGTGTTACCCAAAAGGACCAACAGGATCCCAAGCAGTACCTTATTGCATATATATTTTGAATTAAGGTCTGAAGTTACCCAAATTATTTCACATTTGCCATACATTAATCTTTTGATGCCATGAGGAGTACTGTGAATTAATATTTTTTTCTTTTTCTTTCAGGTGATTGGTTTGATTTAAATATTAAATTGCTAAAGTAATGCTGGAATGTGATAACTGGACATTCTGCCCAAATCCTCAATACAGTCTTTGATGTCTGCAGCAAGAAAGGACATATGAGAATTATTCTAAGCTGTAAATCTGCTGCTTGTCTTTTTCTCATTACATAGGGACACGAAGTGGCAGTTTCTTTGCAGAGCCAGCAACACAAAGTTCGCTTTTCTGATTCTGTAGAGAATGGATTATTTATATTTCCTCTTTCTGGTAAAGTAGATTTTTCCCCCTCTCTCTCTTACAAGAAGATTGTTATTTGGGAGAAAATTGAGTTCTCCCTAAATCGTTTTTTGAAAATAACATTTTCCTTTTCACTCTGTTTCATTTACCAACACAATACGTTATTTCAACAGAAATCAATGCAATCCACAATGAATGTAAAGCAAAAATATTGCACTTCAAATATTGCCACGTCCCACATTCTTTGTTTTATAACTCAAGTCAATAAACATTTTAAAATGTTGATTTATTTATTTACTTCTTTACCACCAAAAAGTTGAAGTCACAATAAGTAATGTTATATATATTTAGCATAATAGACACTCTCCAGAGGTACTTATACATGTGAAATATATATAAATAAAAAACAAAAACATGGGTGATATTGAAAGATCCCCTTTCCATTATTTTAAGACCCAGATAAATAGAAATTAGGGATGCGCCGAAAATGGGCCTACCCAATTCGGCCGAAAAAGGGTCTGCCGCTCTGACTGCTGGAGCTCACAAAATACAGCATAGTCTGCAGCTCACACCGGGTGGAGCTGCAGACTGGGGAGACGGACCACCGGACCACCAGGGAGCATAGACACTGGAGATACAGCACAGTCTGCAGCCAGGACACAAAAAAAAAGGTATTTCTAACACCCTTCCTCACTGTCACCGGTCATCCACTCCCTCAGTCACTCTGTCACCCTCTCCCTTCCTCACTCTGCCACCAGTCACCCCGTCCCTCACTCTGTTACCCCCTTCCTCCCTCTGCCACCAATCACGCCCTCCCTCACTCTGTCACTAGTCACCCACTCACTCACTCTGTCACCCCCTTCCTCCCTCAGTCACCCCTCACTGCCACCAGTCACGCACTCCGTCACCCCCTCCCTCACTCTGTCACCAGTCACCCCCTCCCTCACTGTCTCCCTCTGCCGCCAGTCACCCCTCACTGTCACCAGTCACACCCTCCCTCACTGCCACTCCCTCCTTCCCTTACACTGCCACCTGTTACTCCCTCTCTCCTATGCTCTGTCAACTGTCACCCCCTCCCACGCTCTGCCATCTCTATCCCACCCCACACGGAGTCCTACCTATACTACATCCCTATCACCCCAGACTATATGCCCTACAACCCTATCAGACCCCACACTATGTACCCTACACACACATCTCTAGCCCACCCCAAACAATGTGCCTTACACACTTTACATAATCTACAAACATACAAACTACATCCCTAACCCACACCACATCTCTACGTGTATAATAATGTAAATTAACACGGTGAATATATATATATATATATATATATATTCTCTCTCTCGTATTTGGTAAAAATAAGTTATTCTTTATTCTTACTGATGAAAGCTCTGTACAAGAGCTGAAACGTTGACCGTTTGGAACAGTAAGAATAAAGGGGCGGCATAGTACACACTAATGGATTTAAGGAGTTAATGTATGTAGCTCCATATCCTTTAAGTATATAATCCACTTTGTTTCACCATAATGCTCTTATTAAACCAACCTTTTCTTACATTATTTTATGTTTGTTTTGTTTAAGGTATTGCTTTCTTGTTGACTGATGCCAGGCAGCTCTTTTCAACCTCCAGGGAAACTATTTTCGAGAGAGTACAGAAGTTCATATCTGTTCATCGAAATAGTTTCTTAGTCATAGAGGCTGCTCTGTTTGGATCAGACGAATGGAATTTAATTTTCAGAATTCAGCAGAGGTAGGAATCTTAATTTTAAAGTATTGTCCAGAATATTTGCCTATTATGTGTCTACACATATAGCAATAGCCACTGGTATTGAATCCCTAAGTATCATTTGCTTAGTAACTTCTGGCAAAGACAACAAGATTTGAAAGGGCAGAAATACAGTTTATTCAGTTATATTTATTTAGAAAGAAAACCTTCTGTAATGCTGTAGTGTGGCTAAATGAAACCTACAAATAGAACCAGCAGCTGTCAAGGTTTTAGGTGTCTTAAAGGACCACTATGGGTGCCAGGTCCAGATAGAATTAACCCTTTTTTCTGTACACATAGCAGTTTCAGAGAAACTGCTATGTTTACCTATGGGTTAATCCAGCCTGACAGCCGCTAGAGGGCTTCTGTGCTTCTCACTGTGATTTTCACAGTGAGAAGACGCTTGCGTCCATAGAAAAGCATTGAGAATGCTTTCCTATGGACTGGCTGAATGCGTGCGCGGCTCTTGCCGCGCATGCGCATTCAGCCGGAGAGGAGGAGGAGAGCTCCCCGCCTGGCGCTGCAGAAAGAGGTAAGTTTAACCTCTTCCTCCCCCTAGAGCCCGGTGGAAGGGGGACCCTGAGGGTGGGGGCACCCTCAGGGCACTATAGTGCCAGGAAAACAAGTATGTTTTCCTGGCACTATAGTGGTCCTTTAATACTAGTTTGCTGTTATTTTGCAACCAGTTGTATTATGTCACTGATGATTTGTGAGCATTGAGTTCTAAGGTGTGCTGAATGTCCTTACAGGATTATAGTTAAAAGGAAATTGTGTTAAAAACATTTTTTATGAGTATGTTCAATTAAAAATGTATTAACTGTTGTCTATGAAATGCCTTATCTTCATCACTTGCACCTCAAGCTTTGTCAATTCGTGTAGTCAAGGGCAACTCTAAATATGGCAGTCTAATAGCAATGTTTTCCAAGTCTAGCCATGAATCCTAGTTTCTGTTATGTAAAAATGTAAATGTGCAGTATCACTTCAATGCCACCAATTGTCAAACTGTCTTATGAAATGTTTGCTATGGCTGTTGTGGAAAGGTTATATAAAGAGATACAGTCATGGAGCCAATGGGGATATAGGGGATAAAGAAGTTTTGTGGAACCTTAGATCACCAGGAGAATATCTGGAAAGGTGGAAGTGTGATAGGAGAATAGTTATACAGAGTGGAAACGGGGGAACGAAAGAAAAGAGTAAGAAAAAGGGAGCCAGGAGAGGCAAGATAGAAGAATAGGAAAATTATGATAGAGAAAAAGAGTGAAATGGATTGTAAGTTGAGAAGGACTTGCAAAAGAAGTAATTTGATCTGATCGCATTGTCAAACCTAAGATGATGGGGGGCATGCCCATCTCTTCTCCTCTGTAAACTGTAGTTTGGGTAACATAGTTGTTATTAATGGGGAGTTTAAGAGATATGGTGAAAAGTAAAGCATTGGGGTAAATTGCGAAGTTGAGTGATGTATTTCAGAAAGAAAACAGATGTTAATAAATGATGTTCTCTACACACCAACAATCACTGATGGAGAAAAGTGATAATCAGTCTAGGGACAGTAAATAGTATCACCTCACAGACTGAGTAATTGGAAAGCTCCAGTTATACAGGAAAAGTTACAGTGGGTCACCTCTATTCATAAATAGTATCATGAGACCAGCTAATGAATTAACTGATAGAAGAAAGGACGGTTTTGTTTGTTTTAGATAAATGTAGACATTCCTTGCAAAATGAATTAAAAAAAAAAATATATATAAAAAAAAAAGGATTTGGGGCATTTTCCGATAATGTTAGTAGGCAGTTAGGACAACCCAAGCCAGAGTCTCTTTTTTTTCTGGTAATTGCTAGCAAAATGTATAGATGATATTTGATTAAGTTGTATTTTTTATGACAGGTAGCCTTTGAAGGGATGCGCTAAGCACTATAACCACTAGAGCATGTTTCTAGTGGTTATGGTGCTTTGTTTCCCTTTAAACACAAGTGGGCCCTTCACCCCAGGCGACTAACTGGTTTCAAAGCGAGTAAACAAAAGAAAAGTGCCATCAATAACATGCTACCTCTGAGGACAAAATAATTGGTAAACATTAAAAACATAAACTTCGACCCATAATGTGTCACCAAAACAGACACTTGCAACACAGAAATAAAATATATATTTTTTAAAAAGTGTAGCATTAGTACATTGTGTTTATAACGTTTTAAAAAAGATTGGGTACATTTTGCCCCACAGTTTCTTATTAATATAAAAATACAATATTTTTATGAAATTGGTATTCTTTTTACAGATTCCTTGGTAGTAATTTACGGATCCTTCCTGTTCACAACAATGCGGATACAGTTAAAATTATTTTAACTATAGCCAAGGTAAGCAAACTAGCAAAATATGTTTAAAGGATCACTATAGTGTCAGGAAAACAAACACATTTTCCTGACACTATAGTGCTCTCAGGGTCCCCCTCCCTTGGCGCTGAAGGGGTTGAAACCCCTTCAGTCACTTACCTTTATCCAGCTCCCGAGTGCAGTGCGCGCATTCAAAAAGTCCATAGGAAAGCATTTCTCAATGCTTTCCTATGGATGTTCTGCACGCTGGATGCGCCTCTAGCGGCTGTCAGGAAGACAGCCACTAGAGGTTGGATTAACCCGGCTATGTAAACATAGCAGTTTCTCTGAAACTATGTTTACATCTGAAGGGTTAAAACCTGAGGGACCCGGCACCCAGACCACTTCATTGAGCTGAAGTGGTCTGGGTGACTATAATGTCCCTTTAAGTAACACTCCAGGTACCATGATCACTTATGATCATTTGATTCCTAGACACAAAGTGGCTCCTGGAAGATCCACTCAAGAACTTTTCAAAACCGGTTTAACTACTTATAGTGGGAAGGTGCCAGAGTGAGTTGTAGTGGTAAACATGCCTGAAGTGTTCCTTTTAATTCATCTTCATGTACTTTTGAAACCTTAAAGGACCACTATAGTGCCAGGAAAACACTCGTTTTCCTGGCACTATAGTGCCCTGAGGGTGCCCCCACCCGCCTGGCTCTGGAAAGGGGTAAAAACTTACCTTTTTCCAGCGCTGGGCGGAGAGCTCTCCTCCTCCGATCCTCCTCTTCTCCTCCCCGTCGGCTGAATGCACACGCGCGGCAAGAGCTGCGCGCGCATTCAGCCGGTCACATAGGAAAGCATTCATAATGCTTTCCTATGGACGCTGGCATGCTCTCACTGTGAAATAGGGGAAGGCTTAACCCATTCATAAACATAGCAGTTTCTGCGAAACTGCTATGTTTCTGAAAAAATGGGTTAACCCTAGCTGAAGTGATCTTGGTGCCTAGAGTGGTCCTTTAACCCAAATTCTAAACAGTATTGTCATTTTTTAGATTTTCATTAACTTGAAACAAAAACTTTTTATGGATAAACTATTGTAGCCTGTGTTGAAATTGCAATGCGGTCAGAAGATCTATTTAATACAAAGCAGGGAATGTTATATGTACCAGTTGAATTTTGGGGAAATTGCAGCAGTGAGTGGAGCTTCCATTGCTAAATTTTTTCCATTTCTTGTCCGCCATTACGCAAGACAGATGATCAGAAAAGGATCTTCTTCTGCCTTTGGCATCCCCTGATCTATGGAGGATCATATTTTGTAGTCTCACATTCATGAAGAGTACAGCAGAGATGCTGCACCGTGGAGCAAAGAAAAACATAGCAGTGGTCATTAATAAACCAACAACACTTCCTCCTAAGATCTCAGGCTTCCGTTCAATATTTCTGCTTACAAATAGGGTGGTAAAAGTGTATTTTAGCTTATCTTATTATTTGCCGTTTTGTTCAGGTGTGATTTAAGCAAAATAACTCAGAGTATTTGTCTTACCTAGAATGTGGGGGTAAAAGTGTATTTTATTATTATTCAGAGTTATTTTGCCTTTTGTGCCACTTAATCACACCTGAACGAAATGGCAAATTATAAAATACGCTAAAATACACTTTTACCAATGGGGTGGTGTTACAATGCAGAGTCACAAAACTAATGAGATTTGAATGAAAAACAGCATGACTGAATATGCTGCAATACAAATTGAGTCCTTTTAATTTGTCTTTGGAGGGAAACCTTAAACCTGCAAACCTTGTGTCATGTTTATCCTGTTCTATAAACACCCTTGTATTCACATGATTTAATTTCTCAATAACAATGTATTTAACAACAAAAATAATATGTCAGGTCTCCCCTAAAGTGCCAATTAAACAAACCAGCAATTAAATTTATTATTTATGTTGCATATTGTGGTCTTAAATTATTTATTCCTACAGAGTTTTAAAAAGAATTAACATGGTTGCCTTGTAACCCATTATCATAGTCCCATTAAAATGTAATTTGTATAACCGTTCCGTCTTTTTCAGGTGACTTGCAAACCACACATTGAAAACATACGTGATCGACTCCAAAAAGCAAAAACACACATTGTTGAGAATAGTCCAGTTTGGAAAACCCTTGATCAGATTTGATACATGTTTTTATGCAAGCCGTGCCATGTAGTGTTTACGTACATTGTATTTTTGATGCAAGCTGTCACGGTGTTTTATATTGTTTAAATTGGGTTTTTTGAAAACTGTACTTTAGTGACTTACTGCAGACTATGGTATTACAATAAAACCTTGAGGCAATGCATTAGCATTACATAAAAACGAGCAGCAGCATTGCTGAATATAGCATTAGATAAAAATGTGTAGCCATATAGAAAGGTTTACAAATGACAAGACAAGAGTCATCCATAGCTTGACATAATGATAACCTGGTTAAAATAATGAAATAAGCGTAAACACCTCAATGTAATAGCCCACATTTTAAAAGAGTATATAACACAATGAAATAATTTGTGGTTTTGCTATTAAATTGTTTTCTGAGAAGGATCATTGATCTCTATACTCTGTAGACTATCACAACAGAATTATATTATGGACTACTGGCAATCAAAGTGAATTGCTTCATGTGATAACTCTAGCTAAATGAGTTAGCATAATGCCCCATTCCTGGTTTTGTGTGTCTCCTCATCTACCTATAGAGCTACTACCTCTGGAAGTATAATTTGTTTACATAATTCTGTATTGATAGAGGCACAAAATCCTAAACCTTCTAAATATAATACGATTCTCCACTGTTTATAGTGTAAATTTACAATTATTTAGGTCACATAGATAACTGCAAACCATTGTCAGTTTTATTTCAAGGGAAACATCTTCAGTGGTTTAAAATACACATTAGGGAGTGCACACCAACACATTGAGTGATTCTCACCTGGTGTGTGGATTTACAAAATGAGAACACATGCTTGTGTGTGAAAGTTAGATTTAAGGAACACTAAACCTGTATTTCTTATACTATATTGTTTTTATTTAGATTCAGGGCTTCCCCAAAATGTAAATAAGAATAAAAGGGTATTACCTTTGTTTCTCAGCACTGTGATAGAGTCCCTGCAGCTGATCGAATGGCCTATGTCACGCAGAAACTTCTTTTTTCATCCAAACGAATGCTTCTCATAGAGGAACTTTGGAAATTAAAACCCAGAGCTCCTGTCCTCCAACATAATGTAGATTAGCTGTGAGAACAGAGTTTGACTCCGTTCTCACAGTGGATGTGCCTCTAGTGGCTGTCCTGGAGATAGCCACAAGTGGAGTGTATAACTCTGCAGTGTAAGCATTGCCATATGTACTAGACATCAGTACTTTACACTGCAGGGTGGCAACTAAAGGAGCACTGCACACAGACCACTTCATTGAGATTAAGTGGACTGTGTGCCTCTGGTGGTCCTCTAATTAGGATTGGAAAAAATCTGAAGACTGATAATTTGCCCTTAACACCAAAATGATCCAGAATTTATTTCCTGCCATAGGTCCTAAGTGTAGTCCAGTGATATGTTTTGGATGTCTGAAAAGACAATCATCCCTTGTCAGTCACTGTTAGACGCGCTTCCATTTGCACCTAACAGCAAAGAAAGAACAAGACCAATGAAATATAATGAAGCGTCATAAGTGAAAGGTGATTTTAAATGTTTAGTGGTGTTATTTCCAGAGGTGTATCAGCTCACCTTGAACCGGAGTACCTGATGTTTCTTTTTGCCCTGAAACATTGTTCCTACCATTGTTGGTTCCTGTCCTACCGTAAGAGATCAATAAGGTTTGCTGTATTCAGTAACCACACAGAGCAAGCATAGAAATCCCACATCCCACCTACAGGTGCCATGGGCATAGCTTTAATTCCTGAACAGTGGCTTCTCCAAACCCTTATGAAGAGTAAAAAAAATTGCCTGGGATTTGAAAGGCTTCTAAAAAACAAAACCATATCAGAACGTCAAAGACCATTTGCGAAGAATATTTATCCAGTGCCCAAATATTCAGTGTAGTGGAAATACACTGTTAGCTAGGTATGGCTAACATTTGTTGGGGTTTGGTACCCACTAGTGCTTATACACAAATCTACCAGGGAGATCAGTTAAACTTTTGAAGCTCTGGTCTCGTGATGCTTTGTGAAACAGCAACAGTAATGAGGTTTCTTCTGCCCAGTGCTCCTGGTGCTTTTCCAGTGGGGACTTACGGTGGACAATCGCGAGTAATGAGTATATTCCAGTGCTATCCCTCTTAAAGAACCCATGGCATGAGAGGAAGAAGGAACAAGATACAATGAGACCCAAGCAGGTAAAAGATAATTGTCACAAGTAAAGGTAGGTATGTGGGGTGGAAAAATAACACAAACAGCATTTAAATAGAACTAAGAAAACATAAAGGGTGGAGTGATCGGAACTAAAGGGAAGTTGTGAAAAAGTGTCTGAAATAAGATATGAGGACATGGAGAAAGAGGTAGAATGATAAAAAGAACTCAGATATACAGAACACAGACAAAGCAAGGGTCTGGAGAAGACCCAGAAATATGAACTAAAGGGGGTGAAGAGAGAAATGGCAAGGGAAACAACAGGTAGGTAAACTGTGAGATGTAAAATGGCAGGGTCTTGAAGATTGAAAAAGAAGTTGAAGAGAACTAAGAGAAATTGGTTAAAGACAAGAGTTCAAGACAATGGATTCAAATGTAGAGAGACGCAAAGTGACAGAAACAAATGGAACAAGACGACAGACATAACATGGAAAACTGATACACTGACACAATGGAGAAAAACAACGTGAGAACCGATTTGCAAATGCCAAGAGATACAAATGAGCTGGAAAAAAATTTGGTGACATGGAATGTGTGTAATATGTGTATATTTTGTATAAACGCACTATGCAGAAATGGACTGACCGCTCTTGAACCATAGAAGCTTTAAATTAATACATAAGTGTTACAGTACTAGTATGCTTGATAGAGGCCTAGAACGAGGACTCTTATTACACACTTGTAGAATTAAAGAGTCCGTGAATAAAGATCTGTGAGTGAATCTCTTCATGCAGCACTGGACTTGCACACAACCACCAAATTTATTTACTATTTTGAGCTAGCCTTTATTTTTTCCCCTCATTAATATAGTCATCCAAGTGTCAGGGCTTCAGTAGCAAGTGAGTTTACCATTCCTGACATGGTGCCACTTTCTGTTTCTGCCTGTCAAGATAAGCTTTTTTTTTTTTTTTTTTTTATACCCTTCACTTATATCACCGATAAATTCTGGGTACAATAAGATGTGTAGCTCCGATTTAAAAATTAATAAGGTAAATTTAAGCCATTCGCTGCTCAAAACTTGATTCATATTAAATATTTTGTAAATTTATTGGCTAGAACTTGATCATAAATACAAATCAGAAAAAGCTAAACATCTTTACTTGACCCGATTTTCTCCTCCGATGCAGATTTTAGTCTTGCTTCAATGAGTTCGTCGACTCTGGCAAGAACACTTTCCATTAAATCAAATGTAAAAAGAGCTGACTGTAGAACCTAAACCGTCAAAAACAATTAATGTTGTTTAGATTAACACAGCGGCATTACATACTTCTGAATAAATAAAAAAACATCAATGAAATGGTGAACAAAGGGAAGGGGGGGGAGGGGGGGAGAAAAAAAAAACCAAAACATGAAAATAATATACATACTTGGAGCTGCATTTCTGGGGTCATATCAGGTAATTCAGTTCCTCCAGCTGTCACACTGCAGGCTGTCTTCCTGCCATGGGCACCTTAAAAAGAAACATAGCCCTTGGTTCATGAAGTAAAATTTAAGCAAAATACAAAATCACACCGTTCTATTTTTGGAGTGCCGGAATAGATCATTTCTGGTATTCATTTCTCACCTCTCTTTTTCTCCTGTGCGCTTTTTATCTCTGCTTCATAATGGGCTCTGGACATATTGAGCCCTGTGTGAAGAGGTTTCAGGAAATCATGTTCAATTTTATAAAGTTCTGCCCATACACCGGTCTGTCCCATAAAAACAGAATATATAGTTCATCAAACCAGGTTATGTGATTTTGATTGGTGATTAGTGTTATTATTTGTTGATTGTTTTTTTTTTAAATCTGTTTTGTACCGATCGATTGGAGTGTTGCTGAATTTAGTGTTTTCTCTATTCATTGGGTAAACAATATATTGAATGTAACAAATACCTTAATTTGCAATAATCTGTTTGGATGCATTATATTACTGTCGTTTAAAACCATAATAAAAGCAGAAAGTAGATCTTTATTGTATGCTAAATATAAATGTATTAAAGGGGCAGTAATGCCTGTAAGAAAATAACCACATTTAAAATACTTAATGGAACACTATAGGCACCCAGACCACTTCAGCTCATTGAAGTGATCTGGGTACAGTGTCACTATTGCACTTAGTACACTAGTGCTGCAATGTACCAGCCAGCCACTAGAGGCGCTTTCGGAATGTTACCGGGCTTTTGGTCCGCTAACGGACGCTGAACGTCTTCACACTCTGCATGAGGACATCCAACGTCAGCTATTTTCCTACAGGACAGCACTGATTCAATGCTTTACTATGGAGAGACCTAAGGCGCACACACACCACTCTCCGCGCATGTGCATTAGTGACCCCCCCCTTGAGTGATGTCGGATGAGGCGGAGCCACTTCCCAGCGCTGAGGGACATCAACCCTGGAATCAGATAATTAACAGGGGGAGGCATAGGGAGCTATAGTGCGAGGAATACAGCTTTGTACTCATGGCACTATCGTATCCCTTTAAGCAATGCATATGTAAAAAAATTAATTTATAAAACCTCATTACTTACTAAAAACATTTCATTAAATATCACTATTTTCTTTTTCTGGGAACCATACAGAAAATCCGGATTAGTTTCACTGCTCAACATCAGAGAACAGTGCGGCATTTAATGCTTCCAGATAAGTTGATTTGCCGGTTCCTCTGAAGTCACATGAATTAACTCAGTGAGGCAATTTGATTCTGAACATAGATGCATGTTCACATAAAATGTCAAAAGGCGTGAACATGCTCCAATTCTTATCCTAGCATTACTTAAAATGGCACTGTCAGGGCTGCATCTCAAATTTTTAACCAGCCTACTACTCTACATTTTATTGTCCCCCTAGTTACCTACAAATGCATCTGGGTCCTCCATTTCACCTTTTTTTTACATATTTTTCTTCTCTAGGCGCCGCCATTTTGTGTTCCCAGGTGAAGGCCCTGCAGGACACTTCATCTGCCCACACTAGATAGCGCTGTAATATTACCGTGCATGCCCAGTTAAAATCTTGGGCAATTTTTCCGAGATTATTTGTCTGAAAGACGAATGAACACCGATAGAAAGCACAAAGAATGAATGAAGACTGAATATCAATTCAGTCTTTGTTTGTTCGTTTAGTTTATTGCAAGGAGGGAGCTACTGGTTTGCGGCTCCCTCCTTCCAATGCATAAAAATAGAAGCAGCAGGGAGCTGTGCTCCCCGCTACGTCCTTAACCCCCCCTCCCCCATATCCCCCTCATTCTATGGGGTCAATATGACCCCAATATTAGTACATTGGAGTTAAATCCTCCCGTCTGCCCCTACTCGCTGTGCCGCATTAAAAACTAAACAGTGAGCAACCAGTGGCCTGCACCCCCCCAAATACAATAAAGGGGAACCTATTTAAATAATTAACAAGCAGGGGGACAGTGTTCACATCCAGCCCCCACCCATTATCGGCGGGTTGGGGCTCTAAGTGATAAAGGGGAGGGGAACCTATTGTGTTCCCCTCCCTGTCCCCACCCACCAGCGGTGGGGGCGCTAAGTGATAAAGGTTAGGGCCCATTTGTTCGGCCCCCTCCCACCAACCTAAGTGATAAAAGGGGTGACCTATTGTTCCCCGACTGGCCCCTACCGATTAGCGGATAATCGTAATCAAGACCACATTTACATGTTAGGCTTACTGCTAGTATACCATGTTAACCGTGTACAAGTAAGAAACTATGTATGTTGATAGCCTGGACGTTTGTTAGAAAGATAAAAGGTGCAGTTCTACAAAAAGGGGAGAAGCAATCACCTATATAGAAACATTGTTTGATACACAGGAAATAAGATGGAAGTTTGATATATGCATCTATTAATGCCAGACCCTTTACTGACCTTTCTGACAAAGAAAATGTAAAACAAATAAAAATAAATTTGATGAACCTAGGACGGTTTTCTCGAAATATGTTAAATTATTGTAAAATTTAATTACGTGCAATTTATGGGAAGAAAACAGCATACTGAATGCACACAGTAATACTTTTACTCTTTCTACAATTTGAAGGTTTCTTTTTGTAAATTTTAAAATCTTGTTTTCATACTCAATAGGCTTTTCAACACAGTATACAAAAGGTTTAACAATATTGCAGAGCAAAAGAAAGAGAACTTACTTCATTATCCATTTCGCTGTCTCTTATAAATAAGTACCTCAGAAGGTTCAGTGAAGCCATTATGCTAAAGAAACAAAAAGGTGCAATTTAGTTTTGTGCATTCAAAAATACAATTATTGACAGCTGTATGAAACAGATCTGGCCTCCACCCCTCGCTCCCCACCATTTAATTTTCTTCAAACAGTGGAAACGAGAAGTATTTACATCTAAAGTGGACAGGGGGTTGGCTGTGAAGAAACTGGTCTCCAAGGAAGGAGTGAGAATCATTACATCCCCCAAGGTGAGCTACAATGTTTTACACTCAGAGCCTCCAGAAGAAATCCAAAGGGCAATTAAGTATTTAAAGAAGTATAACTGTCCGACTAATCCTATAAAAGCTGTGTAGATTGTCTATTGTACATAGCAAACTCCAGAGACTGCTGCTGGGCCTCAATACTTTTTCATCTAGTGACCTGTTAATGTCGGGGATATGCACCATCTTGCATTATGTTGTGTGCCCATTTGTGTCTCCCTGCATTTTCCTGGTTGCAGGACATAAAGATTACCCTACTGGCTATGTTGGCAAGTTAATATGTAGATTTAGATCATCTCAACACAAGGTGCTCTATATTCCTTTACAGAAAAACAGGGTTACACGAAATCAGGTTCCAGACCTTTACCCCATGTTCACAATAAGAGAGACAAAGAAAACAGTAAAAGGCTATTTGGGCCACTGTGATACTGACACCTACATAACGTTCCCCCAGGAGGTGTGAATTTATCTCTCACCGATAACAACCCCCTCTCTCCCCCACCAAGTCACTGTACCAGGCTATGACATAATTCTAAAAGAAGGTGTGCAAATAAAATCAAAGGGTCTTTACCAGATGTGATCATTTATAAACATTTAAAATGTATTATTTTTATTGACTTGTGAATACATAATATTTTCAATACTTAAAAAAACAAAGTGGTAAATCTACCCAGGAGGATTGTGGGTGTTTATCTGTTTGGTGTTCCTTTCCCATTAACCAATTCAATACTAGCCCTGTCTGTGAATATTTTGTATAGGAAAGAGAATAACATCCACTATCTCCATTTTTTTGGCATGGTTGTCTGTTATTAACACCTTCCACACTGACTTATCACTTCGCAAAATCTTAACTCTCTGCAAGCATTTGATATTTAAATGGTCAGCTAGCGAAAACTTACATATTGATAGTTAAAGGACCCTATAGGCACCCAGACCACTTCAGCTTAATGAAGTGGTCTGGGTGCCAGGTCCCACTAGGATTAACCCTTTTTTTTTTTTTTTAAATATAGCAGTTTCAGAGAAACTGCTATGTTTATAATAGGGTTAATCCAGCCACCAAATCCTCTAGTGGCTGTCTCATTGACAGCTGCTAGAGGCGCTTGCGTGATTCTCACTGTGAAAATCACAGTGAGAAGAAGCAAGCATCCATAAGAAAGCATTGTAAAGGCTTTCCTAGGAGACCAGCTGAATGCGCGCGCAGCTCTTGCCGCGCGTGCGCATTCAGCCGAAAGGGAGGAGAGGAGGAGGATCGGAGGCAGAGAGATGCCCGCCCGGCGCTAGAAAAAAAGTAAGTTTTAACCCCATCCTCTCCCCAGAGCCGGGCGGGAGGGGGTCCCTGAGGGTGGGGGCACCCTCACGGCACTATAGTGCCAGGAAAACGAGTATATTTTCCTGGCACTATAGTGGTCTTTTAAGGGCCAATATATGATCTATATCAGTTCTGGTCCAATTTAATGACATGAGGTAAAATGTATTCCTGAAAATCATTAACGGAACACTACAGGGTAAGGAACATAAACATGTATTCCTGTCCCCCCTAAATATAGTAAAATCTTACCTCTATGCCAGTCTGCTGGTGCTGGCTATGCCCCTAATCTGTCTCCTTGGCTGACATCATCAGAAATTATCTCAGCCAATCCAATGCTTTCCCACAGGAAAGCATTGGATTGGCTGAGATTGTCTTGTCAATTTTTACGATTTCAGCCAATGAGGTGAGTCGGGGGCAAAGCCAAATGTCCCCCTGGCCAATCAGCTTCTCCTCACAGAGATGCATTGAATGACTGCATCTCTATGTGGGAAGTTCAGTGTCTCCTTGTAGAGGGTGGAAGCACAGAATAGCAGTGATGAACACTGTGCAGCACTGGCCCAGGAAGCACCTCTAGTAGACTTCTGATGAGTGACCACTAGAGGTGCCCCTAGGCTTTAATGTAAACACAGCCTTTCCTCTGTAAAGAGAGTGTCCACTGCAAAAAGCCTAAATGGACTGACTATACGCACCAGAAAAACTACATTAAGCTGTAGTGTCCCTTTAGAGGTCACAAGCTGAATTACACCTACCACATAACAGTAGACGCCAAGCATTTCTAGCTTACGTTTCATCCTCTTACCGATCAGAGTTTTGAAGTAGGTCAGTTTCTGCTCCTTCTGGTAATGAGAGTACAATGTGAAGAAGTGGAATCAACCGAGGTCCTACAAACCACTTGTTGTTTGTATTGGCCTGAAATTAGAGATGGAATGTTAAGTGAAAGATGCAAGATTCTCAGGGCCCGCTGTCCATTGAGTAGTCTCTGCCATGCACACCTCCATTCCCACACTCAGTATATGACAGAGTGTAGGTCAATGTAATGAAACAGTAAGTTTGCTTACACCCATCCAATTCTATCCTCTAAAACATAGATAAAATTCCACAATACCCCAGTGCATAATTTGCGCCCACCTGCCCTTACTATGTTTAACAGCCCTCCAGCTATAATAGTGCCCACCAAACATCAGTCTATACGTGAGTGAAATGCTCACTGCACAAACCAGTGATGGTGCACCTACACCACATGTTTCATCAATGGAACTGTCCCTCAAAGGTCATGATATAATGAAATAAAATACATCAACTTTAAAAGTTTAAAGTTTATGACCAGCTGAAACACCCCAGCCAATCACACATATCTGCCTGCAGCAAGGATCAGGGGGTTTTCAGGAATCTATTCAACTCCTTTTTGGGCAATGATATTTGGATTGCCAGCTAATGGTGAATTACGGGATTGCCTCCTTTTTTTTTTGTGCTCATCATGACCTAAAATGTTCTCAAAATTCCAAGGACTGTTTTAAAATGTATTTAGTTTTTAGTACAGAACCATTGATAGTGTACATCAACTACAGCTGGATCACTGTTTGGGGAAATTCTTCTTGTAGGGCAGAAGTGTCAGAGACATTGTATAGCGATCTCTTGGAAAATGCAGAATTTTGCAGTTTTCAAAATATTCAGCTCAGCTTAGAAAAATAGTGTGGCTATTTAATTCAGCAGCAAACATCTTTTTTTAGTTCACGTAATGTATTCATACTGGAAATAGAGCAGTACAGTGCGTACAGTCTCACCTTCAGTGCAAAGTCTATCTGGTTCTTGATGTTCTGTATAACATATCCTTCCACCCCAGAGTGATTACTTGTCTTTAGCAGACACCTATAGAACAAAGAGTATATTGAGCACTGTACAGCCTAATTTGCGAAAAGCAGCTCCCAAAATAAAAATGTTAGCACCGCTTTTCAGTTGTTTGGTAAAGGTTCACTATAGGCATCTGCTTTCGGGAGGAGGTTACCTAGCCAGCATAGAGAAAGCCTCGACAATGGAAAGAGGCATGTTGAAAAATATTTGAAAAAATAAAATATCAACACCTATAAAGTTAGGGAATCTATAGCTTTAGGAATACAGCCATAGTGTGTTCCTTTAAGTGAATAGAGTATACATAAATATTTCCCAGTTGCCAGTGCAATGCAGTAGATTACCTAAGCAAGAGAAGTCTTGAACGCAAAATTAATTTAACTTGTTAGAACTAAAAAACAAACAGTTTCATACCAATAAAGCAAATGTAATTTTTTTTCACCTATCATTTAAACTACTACTAAGTACCAAGTGCCAAGTACATGGCAAACAATTTATTGGAAGGTCAGTAGCCCCTTTAATAGAACATTTTGTCTGTAAAACTTTAGTCTTCTAAAACACCATATTTAGGGGTCTTCTGACCTCCCAAGAAATCATTGTGCATTTAAATGCTGTATTTGCCCATGCTTATTATTATTATTTGGGAACAAAATGGCGGTGCAAACGAAGCAAAAGTGGTTTGTGTCTGGCCAAGTGTCTTCTTCAACAATGATGCACTGCCATTTTACTGATCCTAAGTACTTTGGTCGCTATACAACTAGTTTGCTGTATATGATTACTATTTAGCTATATGAAGACCACAGGCTTTGACAGAGACTGTTGATATGACACAGGAAGGGGACAAATATTTGTGAATATTATCTCAATATATAATATACTTACCTCTGAATGTTCCAGTTTTGCAGATATCACCAGGAGTCAGGCAGGTCCTTTCCCAACCCCTATAATGTCTGCCAGAAAATGGCTTGGCCCACCTAACCAATCCCTGTCCTAACCAATCAATGAGAACATTAGCTAGTAAGCAGATGGCATTGTCTAAGCAAGAGTTTCTTGTATAGGATGAGCTGACCACTCTTTGGTCAGGATATTTATCTTCTACTAAGAAATGGAAGACCGATTTAGACATGTTCTTTGTGGTCTCCAAAATTTTGACATGCATCAGAAACATTTCAGCTCAGAATATTGTCCATTACATTAATAAATTTGGACAAATCGCAATGACAAAGAGAGGCTGGGAGTGCTAACAGCCCAGCACAAACATCCATCCATATTGCAAAAATGGGAAAATAATGCCAGAATTTTATAGGAATTCATAAAACAATCAATCTTGGGTATAGCATTTAATATGATGTTTCAAGGACCTCAAAATGGCATTATATTTTCCTAGAACACGGTTCATTGTTAGGCCTCCTCTATACATTGATACATAACCTGCTCATGGATCGCCATCATTTAGTTGAGAAAAGCCGTTTGTAAATTTTGACCAACCTCTTTCAGTACCTAAAATAAGCAGTTAGCTGGCAATAGACTATTCTTTTATTAGATGTAAAATTGGATATTATTTGCCATGAAGTCCCAGAAATCTTGTCTGAGTACCGTTTACCAAACATCTAAACTAAACTAAACTAAATACAAAGCAGAAAGATTTTACCTGAATAGTGTATATTTTCCTTCAGGCCCAAACTTATCAATCAGTAATTGTAACATCTGTAAACTCTTCTTTCTCTATGAAGAAAGTACCACTTCTGTAAAGACACTGCATTCAAATAATGAGCTAGAACACTTCTTGACTTGTATTTGCAGAATGTACTTACCAAATGTTCAATTGGGCAAAGGGTCATCACTTTCACCAAACCCTGCGGGCAGAAGAAACCGTATGGTGTTGATATGTACATTTCAGTATTTTCTTATGTGTTTTATTCCCTAAATAATGTTTTGTACAGAATTACAGAATTGTGTGAATTCTATTCATTTCGACCCCTGCAATTGAATAAACTGATGTTTGAGGGGAAATAACGAGTAGACTGCAAATATTCGGCAAAATACTAATTTGGCAATATTTTCAAAATCCTCTATTTTTAAAACTTATCTATTCTGACTTTTCATTTTTCCATTGCAAATTCTTCACAATCCCCCTTTAACAAACTCAAACGCTACTGTCAGTTCACCACAATTACGGTTTGTTGCATAAACCCAATGCACGTCATCTGCTCAATTACACAGTAATAAGGAGTTTGTGGTACAACACATTAAGTACGATAGATAATTACCAAGTATTAATAATTCACAAAGAACAAGCATGAAACACCAGATGCTGGTTGCTGCATTTGTGAACAACTGGTAGTAATAAGATGATTCTCTCCATATCTCATTGAAACTAGGTTATAGAACAGCCTGCAGCAATCTAAAGGCAACAATCCCTTAAAATACGGCTCTGTCATTTGTATAATCACCTATAAACACAGCAAGCACTCACAGAGCTTAGACCCTTCTCGAGCTGCAAGACAGAACACTAAGTGATCTTTGCTATGGTTCGTAGCTGGCATTCTCTTTCTTATTGATTTTAGGATCTTATAAGGACATAACAGTTCATCAAATGGGGAATTAAAAGGGTCTCCTTTCTCCCCACGTAAATACAAGTACCTTTTTAACACTGACTCTGCCCCATCTTATTGAACCATATATTCTATGCTCTCTCATATTTTTTTAAAATCTAAACACAGCATGACATTTTACCCAATATAATCATTACTGCTATACCCCTTTCCATGCCTTCTCTACCCGTATTGTAGCATACACTTAACGGGTGTTCTCTCTTCAAAGGAACACTGCAGGCACCATAACAACTAGCGTGCTGCAGTGGTTATGGTCCCATGAGTGCACTTGGCATCTCCACAAAGATGTAATGAAACCACTTTAGAATAGTTTGACTTCTAACTACTCGCCTCCACTACAGCTTACAGAGAGCTGGAAGCTCTCCGTCTGAGCTAAGCCAAGTGGTGCAAGTTTTTGCTCATTGGCTGACAGTATCAGCTGCTCGCTCTCAGCCAAAGAGCTCGCACGGCACTAACCAGGAGCGTCTGGCCACGGCTTTTGATGAGACGGGGAGTGGTGACAAGCAGTCTCCGAGTAAGAAGTCAAACTGTTCTGAAATAATTTGATTATTAAAATGAGAAAGCTCCAGTGCACTCCTGGCACCATAATCACGACAGGGAGCAATAGTGGTGATGGTGCTTGGAGTGTTCCTTTAACAGGCAGACATTGTACAGTTTGTTTTCAGCCAATATGTGTGCACCGACTCTATAATATAGAGTAAAATATGGCATCAGTAAAAAAACAAAAAAACAAACAAAAGCAGACACTGTAGTCCTGTTTGGAGTGATGGCGTGAATAGTCATAGAAGCAATACTTAAAGGACCACTCTAGGCACCCAGACCACTTCCGCTTAATGAAGTGGTCTGGGTGCCTAGTCCAGCTAGGGTTAACCCATTTTTCTATAAACATAGCAGTTTCAGAGAAACTGCTATGTTTATAAATGGGTTAATCCAGCCTCTAAAGCCTCTAGTGGCTGTCTCATTGACAGCCGCTAGAGGCATTTGCGTGCTTCTCACTGTGAAAATCACAGTGAGAAGACGCCAGCGTCCATAGGAAAGCATTATGAATGCTTTCCTATGAGACTGGCTGAATGCGTGCGCAGCTCCTGCCACGCATGCGCATTCAGCCGAAGAGGAGGAGAAGAGAAGGAGAGCTCCCTGCCCGGCGCTGGAGAAAGGTGAGTGTTTAACCCCTTCCTCTCCCCAGAGCCCAGTGGGAGGGGGTCCCTGAGGGTGGGGGCACCCTCAGGGCACTATAGTGGTCCTTTAAGGCATCATTTGCAAGGGTGAGCTGCACATCCTCTTTAACAATAGACCTTTAAAATTCTAATTCTACGGCATAGAATTGGAAAACTATCAGCAAAGCTGGAGAAATTCCAAAGGCTGTTTTGTTTCTCTATTCACATTCCTTAGTACCTGAAATAAATATCTTTATTGATCATATTTTGAGTAGGCTGCACTGTCATTATTCTTTATTCGTAGAGACAAGATGCTATTTACTGATTTAGCTCTGTCTATTCACGGTGGATGATTCTTGGATATCCAGAAGGTTTTACGCAGGCATTGATTGATGATCAATCAGAGGCCTCTTCTATTTGTGCTACTGCTATTTTTACACTTTCACATCCAAAGGCCGGCTTTATCTTCCTTTCATTGTGGGGATTTTCAGATTTTATTTACTGTGTATTTTATTCTTTTTAGTGTCTTGTTAATCTCTGGTGTACATATGTCCCTTCTTCCTATATTGTAGTAGTTCTACTCTTGTGCTACTTGCTCCCCACTTTCCAGCATATCTGGGACTGAATTAAAGCACATCTGCTTCACAGGAGTTTAACGCCCACTAATCTAGGACAGTCTTTGACATGTATGTCAGTCACACAATGCATTCTGGATTTTAAAGAATCGGGTGACATTATCTACTAGTCTGGATTTGAAAACACGATCCCCCATTGAAATAATGAGCAGATCTTAGATCAATAAAATATTTATAGACACACACACATATATATTTGGTTCACACGCCTCTGAACCATCTTTTAGGTAGTCTGAATAAATGTTGCCTAAATAGTGGCTCTCAAGAATCGTCTGTAGATTGCAATTCTGTATTACTTTGTATTAGTCTGAAAAACATGAGCGATTCTGTTAATGTAGTGGTTTTTACACAAGAAAAATATATGGGAATATATAAATAAATAATGGTGTACCAATTTAATAACATTAGCTCTGATAAAGAGTAATATGAATAGCTGATAGCACCAGCACCAGCGTACATTATAAAACCACTCCTTCTGGTTTACAATTGCTAAAATAATATAGAAGTCTGCTGTGCATGGAAATTGAGCGTTTGTCAAGAGAACACACTGGAGGTGTTTCCTATATTTCACAAGAGCTTTTAGTGAGGTTCTTTAAAGGGACAATGCATCTCTATGAGGAGATGTTAATTGGCCTGGCCAGTGTTTGGCCCTGCTCCCTTGAGGATTTGGTACGGGTAAGCATTGGATTGGCTGAGATAATCAATTCTGATGTCAGCTAAGGAGGTGGTTCGGGGACAGGGACAGGGCTGTGAGGCCCACAAAGCACGGGAAATAAGATAAGTTTATTACCTTCTAAGGGGGGGAAATCCACCTAAATGGTGATTTTAACACCATAGGGTCAGGAATACACGTTTGTCTTCCTGACCCTATAGTGTTCCTTTAACTGTGGACTTAACATCACTCAAAGTAGGTTTTATGAGGTTTTTTTGAATGGCATAAAGTTATCAGTTTAACTCTACTGCCCCCGTCTTGTTTCTTTCCTTTATGTTTATATATTGCTCCAGTCATCCTTAACAGTGGAAGCCCAGCTGGGTTTTTAACCATTCTCAATATCGTCTTCAAGATACTCAGAAAGCCAAGTAGAAGGGGCTCTGGGACATTTGAGCATATCCAATAAGGGGAGTTATATATTTATAATATTTCTAGGTACATTGAAAAGCACCATGGATTTATTTGTATTGTAATTGTGTGTGGTATTTTTTATTATATAATTTGCACTTTGTATTATACATTTTTAAAGCACTGACACTTATATTTATATTTCATGCACAGTAATACTGGTCACGTGTGGGGTGTATACAGAGTATTATTGTATTGTTACACTGTAAAAAATAAAAACATAACACTGTCAACTTACCTGTACTACCTGAAGGATTGCTTTAATTTCTAATAAGTCCTGATGAAGGCTGTTATTTTCTACTCTTTGCAAACTGCTCTCAAACAACTCCTGTAAGGAGAGATGGCCAGGTTTAGTACAATATGGTGGTCTAGTAATAAAATACTGAAAGTAATATTTATAAGTGAACTTACAAGCCCTTTGGTCAACACTGATTCTTCAGTTCTGAAAGAGGACGGACATGCACACATAAAACATATTTTAATTTCATTATGAGCAGTAACCGCAACGCCGCCTAAACAATCAATGCACACATAATGCAGATTTTACCATTAAAATTAATACAAGCAAAGAGATCACTGTCAACCAAAAGTCACTTACCAGGATTTTTAATATTAGCTATACTTATCTCTATATTTAAAAAAATATTTACTTGTGAGGTATAGAAACATAGAATGTGACGGCAGATAAGAACCATTCGGCCCATCTAGTCTGCCCAATTTTCTAAATACTTTCATTAGTCCCTAGCCCTATCTTATAGTTAGGATAGCCTTATGCCTATCCCACGCATGCTTAAACTCCTTTACTGTGTTAACCTCTACCACTTGAAAAATTAAATCCTGAAATCCACACCTGTTTATCTGTCGCCTCCATCTAGCTTGCTGTCGATCATAGTTAGAAGTTCTGTCCTTTGTAACTTTTAGTTTATAGGGACCACAAAGAGGCATTAAACAAATTATGGGAGTGATATAGCAGAGCAAACAAGGGACTAAAACGCTGAGAGACATTCTATTGGTTTCCACGGTGATTGCTTCCCATTTAGCACTCTGAGCCAGGATAGCACCTGCTGTTTGCTTGGTAAATCTCCCCAACGTTTGTAATGTCTGCCCTGGAGTGAAATTGACCTCTCTTGTTCATTTTTTATCATTTAAATGAAAATGGAGTATCACATGTACAACATGTTTAATGCCAGTTATTGATCATTTTTAATGTTTTATTCAGTGGTGTTGTTTGCATAAAGTAATTTATTCCTTTAAAACAAGAAATTACACCGTTACTAAACTAAACGAAGTCCGACAGCCGAACCTACCTAAACTTAACAGTACTATGTATGTATGGTATCATTTTCTACCAAGAGGCATGGCACTATCACAGTTCAATAGACATCTCCAGACTCGGCAAAAGCTTAGGAATTTGTGTTGTCTACAAAATATACCCTATCCCTGTACCCACCCCTCCTACCCCCATTCCTGGTTTTAATTTACCTTTAGCGCAAAAATTGGACTCAGACCGTGTAGGTCTATATGTATTAGAAACGAAATAACTCAGTGCAATCAGACTCCTGTATTATATACAATAACTTATGTACAATACTTGTATCAACCTATCTGTATTATAATGTCTTGTTTCTTTTTTCTGTAACTTGCATTGACTGAGCCAAAATAAAAATTGCGATTTACAAAAAAAAACAAGAAATGGTTTGATGCTTTTCTGGAGTGAGTATTACACGATAAGTAACCACAACCAAAAACCCATTTTACGTATAAACATATCGAGGATTTACATGTGAACAAAAAAAACTACTACAAAACCTTAATCTGTCACTGGCCTATTAGCATGCTGGGAGATTTCCTGTTAGGCCATCTGACTTTTTATTTCCTCAAATATGTTTTCTTTTGGCGGGCATTACTGGCTCTTATAGGATGCAGTATTGTACGTCCTGTGGAGCTCAGTGATACACGCAGACACCAATTATTTAGAACAAAACAGATTATAAAAAGAGGGACAAAAATGTGGATCCTAATGTGGTGCATTTTATTTTCCTTAAATTAACATAAAAATGTTCTTACCTTTTTAATAGTACATCAATATGTTCCATGTTCGACTTTACAACAAATGATGGTCTGAGAAGAAAAAAAAAAAAAAAAAAACACACACACCTGTCATATCTTGCAGTTGTGATAATAAAGAAATTGCAAAGCATTTACAAATAATGCATACATTTTTTTAATTATGCTAATCTGTCAATGTATATCTGTTTCGGCTCCAGTGACTCATACATTACGTGCATATGCACAAAGGGTGTATTAATACAAAAATGAGTATTTCTCATGTTTGTAAACGAAAGTGACAGCGCCAATGTTGTAGGCACAGTATGTATGCAAAACACTGTGCGACGACAGAGCAGGAGAACACTCTTAAAGGTAGTTCAACTTCTCCAGGTCTCGGTCTGTATTTCTATGGTGTACTTTGCTAGAGAAATATAGGAATGAAGTGGCAAAAGTCACTACGCTCTGAAACCAGTGTGCTGGCAATGATGTCAGCATCATGGGAGGGATGTGTCTTGCTTGTGTAAGCAGTCCTGAGTTGGGCCAGCTGGATAGGAGGGAGCATTGTGTGAATGTAATGTTAGTGTAACATCCATGGACTAGGTAGTATTTCACTTCAGGTAGAGACTGTGCTGGTAAAAATCTCAGCTTTCCAGGAAAAGTATAAACCATAGCAAAAAAGAACAGTATCGCGCGTTTCAGTGTATTATAACGCCGTCTTCAGGGGCAAAGCCTATTAGGCAAAGGATAGGTTTTGCCCCTGATGACGGCGTTATAATATGTTGAAACACGCGTCGGGCTTCATTCATTTTTAATTTTAATATGCACTCCTTCACTTGCTGGTTAGCGCTGTTATGGATAGAAACTAATGTAAATAAAATGTCTATTTACTGTGTATTCCTGTGCTCGTTATTTACTCAAAATGGCTGCTAGAGCACCCGCTCCCAGTCGAGCACTGTAGACGCTCCTTTTCCTGTTTGTCTCTATCTTGTGACGACATGTTTAGAGGATGGGACAGAAGCATGCGAAACCCAGTAAGGGTTGGTTAGCCTGTGACATAGTGAGGGAGAGAGAGGGCGTAGAGGTAGTGGGGAAGGTGAAGATCGCTAACATATGTGGCCTTACTATGTCTGCCAGCGGACTGCTGCAGCCAGAGGGCTGGCATAAGCTGCCAAAAGAGAAAAAGGGATTATTGCAGGACAATCACCTAGTAAAAACAGCGGAGGCTTGGTTTAGAGTTGCCAGAGCAATTCACCAGGAGGTGTGGGTAGAGGAAGAAATAGACCTGGGGGGGCAGAGAATGTATGTATATCATGAAGGTAATTGTGTTGCCAAAAGTACATGCTAGCCACCGCCCTATAATGGCGCCTGGCACAAAGGAAAGGAGGCCGGCCCAACCCCTGTGAACTCCACCCAATTACCAGTATCCACAGTCACCGCCCCCCTGGCGCCTGTGTACCCCATCCTCACGGCGGACGGATCCCTCTCTGTCCCTATTATACCTGCCCCTGTCACACCCTCTCCTATCATATCCCCTCCCGTCACTTCCGCCCCTACTATGCCTTCACTTCCTGCCTCTGCTATTCCCACCCCTGTCATGGCAGTCACATCACCTTCCGCTCCCATCGCCACTTCCTCTTCCGCCCACATCATCACTTCCCTTCCCGCCCCTATCATGGAGCACAAGTCCTGGAGCACTGAAGATCAGACCCAGCTTTCTGAAGAGGGTGTCACTAAGCAAACCCTGAATTGCGAGGCAACTGGCTATCCCCAATTCCACACAGAGATATGCACCGACACTCCTCCCACAGACTAAGATCCAGACGCACCTCATGATTGTTTTGAACAGATGAAAATGCAAACAACACACCTCCCAACTGTACATGAAGTTACCCTACCAGAACCTGACCTCATCCTGTTTGTGGATGGCTCTAGATATGCTGATGAACAAGGAAGGTATCATACTGGACGTACTTAGAGCATCCTCACTCCCTTCATCCATGTCTGCACAAGAAGCTGAGCTACAGGCTCTCACCACAGCATGCAAGCTCTCTGAATGAAGGCACGCCAATATCTACACTGACTCAAGATATGCACTAGGCGTGGCACATGACTTCGGACTAATCTGGAAGACAAGAGGATTTCTCACTGCAACAGGCACACCAGTCAAGCACAGCACGGCTATCGAGGAGCTGATGGATGCCCTACTCCTCCCCGAAGAAGTGGCCATACTCAAGGTAAAGGCTCACGGGAAACTGAACTCGGATGAAGCACGAGGCAACCATCTAGCTGATCAAGCTGCCAAACAAGCTACGTGTGCACCAAGGGAAGTGGACAGAAGAGTGTCCGCCGAACAGATCCAGCTCCTGAAAGAACTACAAGCAGCTGCTGATCCTGAAGAAATACAAAGCTGGAAACAGAAAGAGGCAACCCTTAAGGACAGGCTGTACTTCAACAACCTCAAGTTCTGTTTACCTAAGAGCATGTATTTAGCAGTGGTCCAGTGGGCCCATGGAACGTCACACCTGTCCAAGACCCTCATGAACTCCCTGATCAGCAAATACTATGAAGCGCCAGGAATTACCTCTCTGACAAACAGCTACTGCAGATCCTGCACCATCTGTGCCAAGTGCAACCCGGGAAGAATGGAAAAAGCCCAAACCGCAGTATCCCTTCCAAAGAATCCAGGTTGACCACATCCAAATGTCAAAGAGTGGTCTGTATGAATACGCACTATAGTGGACGTGTTCTCAGGATGGCCAGAGGCCTACCCAGTTACCAACATGACAGCCAAGACCACAGCCAAACGCCTGCTCACCAAAGTAGTATGCAGATATGGGGTCCCAGAAGTAATAGAAAGTGACCAGGGTCCGGCCTTCACTGCATCACTAACCAAAGAAATATGGGCGGCACTGGGGGTGACCCTTGCATTCCACACTCCCTACCACCCTCAGAGTATTGGCAAGGTAGAACGCATGAATGGCACCTTAAAAGCCAGGATGTTGAAAATGGCCCAAGAGACTAATCTATCCTGACCAGAGAGTCTCCCCATTGCTCTGTTTAGTGTAAGGTACTCACCAAGAGGGAGGTTTGCACTATCCCCTTATGAGATCCTGTTTGGGTCAGCACCCAGACTTGGATGCTATTTCCCCCAACAACTCCAGCTCCATTCTGATATACTGGTTGACTATGTAACTGCTCTCTCTCTCAAGCGTTGACCAAAATCCACGTGCAAATGTTTTCTTCCATTCCAGATCCAGAGTCTGATACAGGCACCCATCGATTACTCCCTGGTGATTGGGTTCTGGTTAAGAAATTTGTGAGGAAACACACTCTTGAGCCAAGATATGAAGGTCCCTTTCAAGTCCTCCTAGTCACAGCCACTTCTGTTAAATTGGCCGGGAAGAGCACCTGGATACACGCTTCCCAAGAAAGTTCCAGCCCCAGAGGAGGTAGACTGTACTAAGCCATGATCATCTTGTGCATCCTTTCACTACTAGGCCTGACAAGGGCCCAACAAGTTGCCATTACTAAGGATGATAATGTATTTACATTTTAGTATAACTCATCTAACACACATGTGGCCACTTTTGAATTTGACTATTGTGATATTGTCAACTGTCCATTCCCACAACCATTGGTACAAACAGTATACAAGGATATACTCTGTATAAAAGACCCTTACATATGTGTTACAGACAATTATTGGGGACCTGACTGTAGTTACTGGAGGGCGGTGGGTTGGAACACAGGACCAGCTTGGGGTTACAAGCCACAGAGTGCCCTGGTTAGAAAAGACAAAAATATGGAGTCCCTATTACGTACAATGACTTTGCGAAAGCCGGGAGGGGCGACCCCCATGAAGCTTACCCTGAACATAGAAAACCCTAGCCCTGGCGATGCTGGCCGGTATATAACGGGGATGTATTGGAAAGCAGGGGGCTCCTATAATAAACAGGGGACTTTCTACCTTCAAGATATGTACCATTCAACCCGAGTGGGTAACTTCCCAACATCTGATCATTAACCCACTTAAACCCCACATTCAGACCTTTAACGATATGGTAGCCATAGCACACCCTACATTGGAAGATACTATGGCTACTGAGACAGGTTTCTCTGACACTAGCCTATGGCTGGAATGGATGCGATAAAATGCTAACAAACACAATAGAACTAACTGCTAGGTCTGTGGAGGAGCCAGACCCCATCTAGGTACTGTACCCTTAACTCTACCCCATGACATAGAAGTGTGTTTTCTGAGTCTCTTCACAAGCTGCAAGACTAATCAGACAGTGTGTCAATCATGGGAAAAAGGAATATCCAATTATGACTAAGAATCCCAAACCACATGAGGGTATCACCATATATCCAGGGAATTATACTTGCCATGGTATATATGAAGGAAACTGCAGATTTTTGGGTAATTTCACCGGCAAGTATTGTGCCACTTATAGTAATGTTTCAGCTACCTTACTACAAAATCAGGTTCGACCCCTGGGGGACATATATTGTGTGGGGATATGCAGCTTAGGATAAGGTTGGAAGGCTTACCGGTGAGGGGAATGTGCCCTAGCCAAAGTTATTATGCCAATACACACAATATACGACAGTCACCAGGACGCACATGACACGTCACACTCACACATCAGGACAAGAAGAAGCACCCCCATGTATATATAGATGCCATTGGGGTGCCAAAGGGGGTGCCGAATGAATTCAAGGCAAGAGACTGGGTTGCAGCAGGGTTTGAATCCATTTTCCCAATCATTACTGCCAATAAGAATCTGAATTGGATTAATTATATATACTATAACCAACAACGGTTTGTAAACTATATAAGAAATGCCATTCAGGGGATGGCTGAGCAACTACAGGCCACATCCCAGATGACCTTTCAGAATAGGATGGCCCTAGACATGATCCTAGCGGAGAAAGGGGGAGTGTGTAAAATACACCCAGACACCATGACATGTTGCACCTACATTCCACCTACATGGCACCTACATGGCAATAGAGAAGTTAGAAATTCTTTCGGAAGAATTAAAAAGGAACTCTGGGGTCACAGATCCATGGGAAAGATGGTTTGGGTGGCTGGCAGAGAGTTCTGGCCCAAATAGGTGTGGAAGTTCTGGTAATTTTGATTATTCTTGCTCTCAATGTCTGATGTGTTTTCCCCTGTGTTAAGAAATGTATACTGAAAACAGCAGATCAGGCCACACCAACTTTCTTTCATCAGGAAATTGATGAGGAGGATTATGATAAACCCTATGCCCCGTTGCAGTCCCTCTCCGCCAAGGCTTCAGGATTTTAGGGATCGTAGCGATAGCGTCTGTCTTTACGGGCACAGTCGGTAGCGAGGGGTGTGATGGACAAGCCACTGCTCGTCTTATGCGCAGAACAAAAAAAGTTTGAGGCCTGTTGGACAGTTGAGTTGTGGGCTATTAGGGAAAGCTTATAGGGACAGAAATAGCTGCTAGAAACTGCTGTTAGTAAATAGTAATTTTGAGGGGGGACGGTTATGGATAGAAACTAATGTAAGTAAAATGTCTATTTACTGTGTATACCTGTGCTCATTATTTACTCAAAATGGCTGCTAGAGGGGGCGTGGCCTAACCGCTGAGCTGAGAAGACGCTCACCTCGGCGGCTCCTGCACACCGAAGCAATAAAAACGAGGAAAAATCACTAACGAGGCTTCAAATTAATGACAAAAGGCCTCCAGACGATGGGGGAAACTGGGGCGCACACTATGATACCCGCTAATCGACACCAGCTCCAGTATGAAGCGATCGCCCTGGAGGGGCCTACCAGCATGGCGGGCGCGAGAGAGACGGCCGCTCTCCCACCGCCGGGCACAGGCGACACCTCACTTCGGAGTCCACGTTCCCCCCCCTCTCGACCGGTGGGGGTCATCCCGGGCCACCCCCGCACGATCCTCACACCAAGCGATGCCCCAGCACCATGCTCATCCAGTCTGGAGAGCAAATGTGCAATACCCAAAATGTAACCGAAAGCTCTACAAAGCTTAGAACGCACTGTGCCGCCAAGATTTCGTAAGACCTACTCAGGACCACATTTTAACTGAATACTCAGCGTAAAGTTTAAACGTGGACAATCTTGACTAAATAACAAAAAAAATGTGCAAGGATTTATGAAAACCCCATTGTTAAAAATGTTGATATTCTGCGTGAGGAATGCTATTGGGGCACCACACGCCTGCTGTTATGATTTACTTTGTTTTGCACTGCAAAAATAAAGAATAAAAAAAAAAAATGGCTGCTAGAGCACCCCCTCCCATCGACTAAGGCGTGTAGCAAGATGGCATCTCCGTCCAGAGCTACAAACAAAGACAATGATGACATCACACCTTGGAGGAAGTACATCAGATAAGACACTTAGCACTTTCCACTTACTTAGTGGGTTGATATCCCATTACCCGGTATGCAGACATTTGTTTCCTAGTTAGGACCCTCTATTAGATATAGTAGCTCTACGACTTCAGATTCAATTAAAGGTTTTCTTATATTTTGTTTTTTGTTACTAATCTATTTCAAGTTGTACTAATTCCCATACACCCATCTCCATTGAAGTGGACGTCTGGGATATTGTTCTTTTTTCTATTTCTAGTAATTAGGGTTACCCCCGTTATACTAGTACAACCAGGTGAGCCCTCCTTAACTAGGGGATAGGGTTATAGGTATACCCTAGCCTATGTCCTTTAGCTGGTGGAAGATCATTAGACCTATCCCAGGGTTAATATCTTTTAAAGTATAAACCATATTATTATGAAAAACATGTGAACATGTGGAAGCACTGCAACAGAATTTCAGATTATCTGAAAGTTAGGATATCTTTTAACACCAATTAAAGGCATGTAAAACTGATAGACACCAAAGGAGTCAAAGGATATTTGATTATAAATAAATATATACATACACACACACATATATATATATATATATACATATACACACACACACATATATACATATATTTATTTCATATGAAAAGGGTTCATCTAAGCCCCCAAACCACTTCTGCTTAAAGGAACACACCAATTACAATACTGGAAATGTTCTTGAAATCATTACAAGAAACCTCTTACCCAAACACACAGGGGAAGTCATCTATTCCTATATGCTGTACGAACAGGAGGTAGGAGAGGCAGGCCAAAGACTCGTCAGCATACTTTTCTTCTTCCTCTTGCCCAATTTCTTTACTTTCCAGCATTTGAGTTACATTAACACGCTTCAAAAATGCTTTATGCAGAGATTCCCCTAATAATACAAAATAGCGCTGCATAAAAAGAAATTAAAAAAAAAAGTAATACAAGAAATGTATAAATGCGCGTCACATACAGCAACTATAAGAACTGTGAAGAACTAAGGTCCTCAATGTATTCATAGCAACATATATAAACAAACCTATAGCAAAGAAACTGCCATAGTTATCCATTACAAGATATATATGATTTCATAGATTAATCTCCCCAAAGTGCCAGTACACAGTATTAGCAAATCACACACAAGAAAGTCAAGTAAGATATAATTATATTAGAAGCCTTGTGGAACAAGGGTCTGTGCAGCATCTATGGAATGTTATTCAAGGTCAAGCAGTGTGTGCTATGGGGTTACTGTTCCCCTATATTCTGACCAAACAGACTCCATTGCAAAGGCTGCAATCCCTGATAATTATACACTCTAGTGTGGAGCTCAGGTCGTTGATGATGTCACCAATTATGGAACTGGGCTAATTTTTAAGTTGAATGGAATATAAAAACAATAGATTCAAATGACTGTGACAAGTATTATTTATAAAAGAAAAATGCGGATATAATAATTGTGTTTTCTGTAACATAGGTAAATGGGAGACTTCTAAAACTCTCCTGTTGACGGGAATAGGTCACATGAGTATACAAATGGACGAATCAGAATTAATTCCAAGAGCGATTATTATAAATGCTGGGGGAGTAAGGGGATGGGTATACAGAAAAAGTACGAGGAAAACTGCACAGAGAGTGAGGAAAAAACAGTTACTAATTGAACCCCAGGTAACAGTATTTCTGTATATAATTGCTTCTGTAAAGGATACAGTTTTTTGTCAATAGATCACTGGTTACACCAACCACCTTCTGCTTTTTGAAGTGATGATAGAAGGAGGAATCTGAATCTCCCTCTCTGATTGCCGACTCAAGTGTGCGCAGGTGCGCACTGAGCCAGGTAAGTAATCCACAGAGTTCCGAGTTGTCTACTGGCAATTGTGTGCGATAGACATAGTCAGCTCCTCTCTTGTGGGCAGCGCTGAGAGTGAAAGCCTAGCTCTCTCCCTTGTTCCCTCCCTTCCCCAGAGTGCACGAATACACTCTGTGCTGGGCGAATGGTCCTATCAAATGTTTCTGAGTAAGAAGCATTTGATTGGCTCATGAGTGGGCAGCACTGACGATGGAAGGCATGTGGAAGACAGTGCCGGAAGCATCAGTGAATTCTAATTTACTAAACTGGCTTGGAAAAGGTACATTTTTTCCAAGCCAGATAAAATAAAAAAATAAAAAAAAAGGCTGGGGAGTGAACTTTGTGGTTAAACGGTTTAACCCCTTAATTTTTTCATTAGGCGTGTTACGGGCAAATGCAAATATTACAAGTTTTAGAATGAAATGTTGTATTTCTTAAACTGTGTACTTTGTCTTTAAGAGATATTGCAAACTGACAAGGTGTTAGAAATGGAACATATTGTTTTTCATAACTGTTTCTTTAAGCAATAACCTCAGTGCATAATATGTTTGCGCCATTTTGTCCCAGACGAATTACAATAACAATAATGCATAAACAAGCTTCAAGGCTATACTACGACACTTGCAGTACACAATATACTGTGGTAACCCCAAGTTAATGGAACTTCCCCAAATCTGGGAATCTCCCACTACTGTACACTTATGACTTAGTATAAACAACAGATAACCTATTCAGACTTTAAGATGCCATCTTGAACTAAGTCAGGAAAATTTCCATGACGTATACACCCTTTAGTTATGGCCTTGTATGTTTGCCAAATTAAGGGAGGACCTAAATTGAATAAAGTAAAAGAAGTGTTACTTTTTCATATTTGAACTACAGTAACCTAAAATGGAGACACCTAAGATATAAATAGGTGTACTTTTAAATGTTAAGACAGAGGAGAGACTTGGAGACAGACGCTGCTCCATCTTAAAATGACAGAGAGGCTGACATGATGACATGTTCAGAAGGGTATGTTAACCTATTAATGATATTTGCAAGCATGTAATTTAATCTTATAAACTCTGCTATAATGGATTTTATATTTTTATTTAATAAATATCCAAAAAGACAATCTTGCTTTCAAGACAATCCTTATTTTATATTGTATTCTCAATTATTTATATTTGTTAAATAGAGGATCTCTTACACTATATAAAATTATGGCTAAGATATCTGTATGGTTAGCCCTACTAAGTTCTATGCTTTAAGACATTATAGTGGTAAATAAGGGAACCGCCTGCGGTTACAGGCGTAGATCTAAAAACAGCTTGCAAACTCTGCATTTCTCTGGTTTGAAGCCTTTACAGGCCCTCCCCTTGCAAACTCACTCAGACTTTCACAGGCTTCCTAATCCAGCTCTGGGTAATTGCTGCCCCATGAATTTAGCTCCACTAAGCTAAACAAACCAGGAAGTAACAGGACCGGTTGCCTGCTATAAAACCAGGGGATTGTAAATAGAAAATGCCAATTTCTATTTCCTACAATGAAAAAAAAGGACACACTTTTCACACAGAGTATTTCAGAAAGCTAAAGTACTTTAGAGGTCCGGAGTGTCCCTTCAACTGCTGATGTCTCTGTGCCATTTATCATCAGAGTTGTAATTAAACAAAAGCTGAATGGCCATGGTTAGACAACCCTCTTTTAACTTTTTCATTTATAAATATAATATATTGATAGTAGTAAGGATGTGAATATATAGTTCTATGATTTAACAATTACACTTACCAAAATCTCTTTCGCAAACAAGTGGAAAGGGTTGTCACCCATGTCTTCAGGAAGTACATGCAGCGGCGCACCAAGCAGGGGCTGCTTCAAACAACTATAACAACTTAAAGAGGGAAACAGAGTATGAATATATAATACTACAATGTATAATTGTTAATGTTATTCACGTTATGCAATCATTGCCATTCCACAAAGAAATGACTATAACTCAGCTGCCTAACCCGGTCTTAGAACACAATTCAGACTTTATTAATAAACTCTGTATTATAATCATATGGCATTTATACAAATGTACCAAGAGACATGTTTCATTAAAGGGCCCCTAAACAACTTCGTACCACTTTATATACCATGGGGTATGACTGGTTCATATTAGCGACATTAAACCCTTCACTACTGAGCACTTTTTAATTGAGAAATATTATTATAACACATATTTTAAGCAAGGGATATATAGCTAGCATAAAACATACCATAACACAGCAATTTTGTGTATATATTGCTTTGCAGTGTTATTTTTCACTTATTCATTATGCCATTTTAAAAATATTTGGAAAAATTAAAAGCTTTAGACAGTATGCAATGTCCTTTATCTTGCAGTATTTCACACAGGGTCTTAAATGTTAGTATAAAAGCAAAAAAATTTAATTAAATTAAAAAAAAAATCTCACATACATTAGATGGGACATAAATAAAAATGGTCAAACACCTTGCTTATAGGTATTTGCAAGACCCCCAAAGGCATTACCAGCCTTACTAAAACTGGTTACAGAATGTCCGCACACAGCAAATATAGTTAAATCGTATATTTCTAAGATAAAGGTTTATAAAACTGTCATAGCAATCTTTATCAATCTCTGGAATGCTAATGTAATGCGAACAATCAAGTCTTTTCACTCCTCCCATCTGCCTGACTGTATGAATGATATGCTTTAGTGAAACTTCCTTTACTATTTGAAAGCAGGGGGTAAGCTTATATTGTCAGCAAATGTACAGTTATATCACTGAACAGTCTCACCCACACCACCCCTATTAAAAAAAAAAAAAAAAGCTTTTTATAATGATAAAATCTTTATGAAATGCTCATAGAAAGTGTGTTGGCATTTTACTAAAATCCAAACCAGTCAAAAGATATTTTAAGCCTTCATTCATCACTAGTGTCGGCTAAGGTAAAAAATTATCTTATATGGAGGATCCGCGCCTTCATGGAATCCTCCATAGACGACATTGCCAGGAGATGAAGAGGACCTTGAAGGACTGGGGTCATTACTGATGTATCACGTGATATATATAAATTATTTAATGTAATATTTTGTTTAAATAACGAAGAAGACATAATATATTGTGTAGTAAACCAGTCAGACAGAAGGAGGCACAAACAATGATTAAACATAAGGCAGAAAACAATTTACAAAACAAAATTGTAACGACATCACTGTATTGCTCTTTTTTTTTTTACGGAATCAAATGCCTGTTAAGTGCTGGACAAACGAATTGCTTTGTTTAGCAATCACAAATTAATAGCTTAGTTTGTTCAGCGATTAGCAGGCATTTGGTTCATTTAGTACAATTGATCGGAATTTGCGCACAAATCTAGAATAAAATACATAAAATTTACACTACAAAGTTATATATAATTCAAGGAATCCTCAGCCACAAAGAGACAGAATTGATATTGTTAGGCTAAATGAGAACTTCTGCTTTAACAATATCACAAAAGACAAGAAGGAAAGTGGGAACTAGGGGGACCCAGGTAAGTGTTAAACAGGTAAGGTAAGTGTTAAGCTGTTTGAAAATGTCTTGACTCCTCACTGTGGGACAGCGCTATAAGTGCTGTAGTGATTAGAATGCTTAGAGGGCCCCTTTAAATGAACAAAATGCAGTAAAGGTCCTGTTCAAACAAGATTACAATGGCATCCATTTATTTCTCAAAAATACCCCATTACAAAGCATTCAGGGACATCTATTCTCATGATGGGTTAATATGTGAAAGTGTCAATGTTTTACATAAACAATTTTTATCTGTACTGTGCTATCAAGCTTTATAACACTTCTAGACAACATTCTAGAATGTATTTGTTGCAGGTCCTAGCCAGTGCTTACAATGTTGCCAATTCTTTTCTTAGCTCTTCGCTTTCTGAATCCTTCGCAACGTCTGTGGATTGAGAGACCATATCAACAAATGGTTTAGCAAACTGCAGCAATGCGGAGAAACACTGGCAGACAAAGTGCTTGTCTTCCTGGATCTGTTCTCGGGTGTATGGCACGGGTAGAAGGCATAGCTGAGCGTGGATGGTTGACAGCGAGATTCCCACAGAATATGCCTTTTTGTTGCCGAGGTTCAGAAGAACTGGAAAACATGGGGAGATATTTACTTCGTAGCTCGGACAGCGTAACATTGCTCTGGACCTCAAACCCACGTTCAGGTTTTCTCAAATTTGTCAGAATACAGTGATCTACTCTTCAATTGTAAAAAGACTGTAAACGTTTCCACTACTGCTGGATACTCTGAAGGTAATAAAATTGCACCCACACATTAGGTCAATTTGTAGATTAGGTTACGCAGTGTGGGGTTTTTAATTAATTATATATTTTAGATTATTTTTTTCCTCAAAGAATAGATTTTGCTCTAGAAATCACCTGTAATGTTTCCATTTTTTCATGCTACAAGACAGATGTAAAGCATAGATTTCTGGGGGTTGTAATTCAACTGTTAGCGTCGTAGAGTTTCATCCACTCCATATCCCATCACAAGGATTGTATTGCCAAATACGGATTTCTGAGAGCTAATAGATAGCTCCCTCTTAGTGAGTGTATTTTCAATCATCTTTCATTTTCTCATTTGACGCATACAATATTATTCTATTTTGTTTTTCCGAGTTTTTATTTCACATTATGGAACTGATTTGAGTTGGTAAAAATATTGGATTACTAGCCAAATTTACTTACCCCCTGCTGCTCAACCTCAATAGACTTTGGCACTCTTGGTATTTGTATTAGATGCGATATTAATTTGGCAATTTATTACCCTCACTGTATTTGGCGCAACCTGTTTCTCTTTTTCCTTTTATATTTATCTTTGATCAATTGCAAATTTTGCAGTACAACGAGAACCCTGCACCAACTCTAGCTTTGGATGAACCGGGCTATGCAAAAAAGGCTATCAGCCGCTGTATGGCTGTAATAAGTTTGTAAAGTGGTTACACTCATTATATGTCATAAGGGTAAACGGTTTAACTCATAAACCCCTACATGACACACCAGACCTCATAAACCAAAATGAAAAGCTCCTAATTGGTCACCCCTCTTCCTGTTAAAGTAGGGGACTACCTAAAGTTGCTGTCTGCTTATCTAAATTGTGCTGCCTCAGGATCACTGAAAGTATTGTTTTATTATAATTTATTTTAATTGTATTTTATTGCATTGGGCTAAATGTGTTAATATAAGCATTAAAAATAGGGTGCCATGTCCAGTCAAATTCCTTTTAAGAAAAGGAACGGGTCATTTTCAGTCCAGATTGACCTTTTAAGTATGGTTTCAGAGACCAGCTGAGTTTTGTTCTCCCACTCATAACAACTTGAACTTTTTGATACTTTGCAACTCTGTAAATGACTCATTAAATCTCAGAGTTTAGGCACCCCAAAATCAAGAATTAAATATATTAAATTTAATAACACATTCATGATGCACATAAACATGTAAAACTGGCATGAAGACTACATTTTGTAAATAAAAATCACCTTTTTGAAGTGGATCCAGGAGAAGTAAAATAACATGAGGTATATCTTCTCCTTTGGCCTCATCTATATGTTCAAGTAAACCCAACAGAACCTCCTTTAGGTTACATATCTGCAAAACAATACCAAACCACGTACTTTAGAAGACTGGATGTGTGGGTCACTTAGCCGTATTCACAACTTTAATAATGTTATTAAATATAATTAGAATGATAGAATCAAATATGTCAAACAGCACCAACATTTTGTATTGTTTCCCTTTAAACAAAAAAAAAAAAAAAAGTATGTGATGACAGCAGCCAATTAGAACCTGCAATTAAAACTGTCGCTTAGATTAGCTCCCAGCATTCCAATGCGCAGAGAACAGAACATTCTTTTGGAAACTGCCCGAGTATGTCATTCTCAAATAAGGAACAGATTAAATACCGGTAAGAATTATCTGACTTTAAAAAATCTGAACAAGCAGTTGTTTGATGTTTTTAAAGCGCTGTAAAATTGCAAAATATAAATAAAAGGCACGCACTTGAATTAACTGATTTATCATTTCCAAGCAGAGCTTCCTTTTGTCATCATCCTCAGGACATTTCTGAAACCAGCTTGTAACTGGGCCGATAAGATTCCATCCCACGCTCCTGATAATTACCTGCAAAGATACAATTGAATTAGAAAAAGAATACGTTTTAGAAACAATGATGTCATACAAAATGCCATTTAGAATGACAATAAGCGGTTACTAAGGTAATTTTTAATGCAGCCCACATCGTAAACACAGTATGTATCATTGGACAGCATGTAGTTTTTATTTATTCTATCTTTCACCAAATTATGTGTTTGCAATTTCAATCAATCAGAATCGGTTGTTGGCCCAGTCTGAACATTCTCACACACAGGCAATGCCAGCGCAAACAATGCAAACGAGGAGAATGAGAAACACTGTTTGCTCGCTCTATGCTATATAACTTCCAGGCGCAACAGACAGAGCTCATAACAATGACAGGGGACTAAGATGGGATCGCCCAGCTTCCAGATAAAGAAGTGTGGATTTCATCATTTACCCAATTCAAAGGGAATTTAAAATTTTAGGCTCAAATGGCCAAACTGAAAATAGTTAACTTGGAGAACTTTTGTAATGTGGCTAATTTTGCCTAAATTTTGAACTTTACTTTGAACTCCCAGCAGTGCTCCTTTTAGTAAAATAGCCCTGATATTTTCTTTTAAACCCCACACAAATACATATTTATTAAATAGAGGAACAGTAAACCTAATATTAGAAATCCTGGTTGCACCTTAAATGGAACTAAGTGTGTCAGTTCTCCGTACATGGCTATTTCTCACTCTGCTCTATCTACAAGCATATCTATAGGTCCTGAGTGTTCTACTCCACTAACCTCTACCTTACTGATGCTGGCAGAGTAGTGTAAGCGTAATAACACAGAAACAGCACGTAATGTTTATGAAATTACACTGAAGTATAACTTTACAAAAATAAGATTAAAGGGACATAATAGGCCCCAGAGCACTTCAGCACATTAAAATAGTCTGTGTGCGTTGTCCCTGTCACCCGTAGTCCTGTAATGTAAAACATTGCCATTTTATAGAAACTGCAGTGATTACATTGCAGTACTAAGACTGCCTCTAGTGGCTGTCAACCAGACAGCCACTAGTGGTGCTTCCAGGAGTTTAACAGACTCTTGACGCCCTCACGCTCTGCATGAGTACAGCCAGCATTCATTAAATCCTCATAGAAAAAGTATGGAGTAGAATGCATTAAGCATTTGGCTTAACATATATATATTTTTTTAAGCGCTATCCACTTTTGGGTTATTGTATATTAAGAAGGAGGGGAAAAAACAGGATAAAAATGAAATGAATGGTTAACAAGCGTTTGTGATTTATTTGAAGTAAAACAAAAACCTAAATCAGCATTTGAAAGCCTTTAGACTAAAGATCTTGTTTTATACAACAAGCCTCTAAAGGTTTTCACAAACAGCAGGTCTATCTAGTTAATCGGATTACGCTGCCATTAAGATGACTCATATCTTTGTAGAGTGGCACATGTCTGCTCTATGGGATTAGAAGTAAGCTCCTTTTCTCTCATTTCCAAAATTATACTGGGGAAAAAAGAAAAACAGGGGTCTCATTCATTTTACATGCAAGTGTTTATTATCAACAATATCAGTACATTGATCATTGTTAGTCTTCCCTCTAATAAATTATTTGACGTTTCACACAAGGTTTTGTTTTTACTAGACTGAATTGTGGTGAGATTAAAGCAGATTACAAAAACGAAACTGCATCGTCACATTGTAAATAGAGTTAAAATAGCATTTTCTTTATGTATGCTACTCTAGCATCAATTAGAAAATGAGATCTCAAATTTGCTATTTAGTGAATAAACTCCACTTAATAAAAAATGAAGCAAACGTGATTTCACTGAAACCTTTTACGACAGATGGTCTACAGCTGTTTATAAGGTATTATCTTTCTTCACTGCAAAACAAGGCTTCACCATGTCCTGAGTCAGCTTCTGGCAAATAACCTTAAATTGGCTCCTACTTCATATAACAGACACCCAACAGGTCACCAAGGTACGAAAGCAGAATTGTCATACGTGAGCTGACCATAATTGTAGTCGATTTGATTATATTTCTAATATATTTTTAGTTATTTAAATTATATAGCATGCTGTTGTGGCCCAGTTATAGAATGTCATGTGAATAAATTTAGCCGTTCCAGTTCTGCATACACACGTCTGGCACAATACTGTATCGTAGACACAGAAATGCTACAAAAAGAACCATGTTATTGTGTACTTTATCTCTTACTCGACTGATTCAATAGTGTTCACTGAAGTAAGAGGATAGGGGATGGTCCTTTCCACTGCCTTTTCTCTACAAAGAAACCTCTGCATTGTTTTTGATGGCCTATGTAGTATGGGCAATACACGTTCTATAATTTTATTAAATAGGCCATATGGGTTACATTAGAAATTAAAATAACAGCTCTCAACGTATCTCAAAACATAAAATTCTATTAATGCTATCATTCAACTGAGAAATTCAGATCAAGAAAACCAAACATTTTAGCATAATCTGCCTTGTTGTAGAAAACAGCTATTTTAAAGAGACTACTAGTCTGGGTGAGAAAGAAGCTAGAACAGAACATTCAGCTAAACTCACACTTGCTTTCTGCAACTGGTGGAAAATATTTGATATAAACTTATAGCCATGGATTTCACTAGAAGCAGTTTATTAAAGGTCACTTTTGGACTTTTACCAAATCATCGGAAACCAACTTCCTTTGTAAAGTTTTTGAAAACCTTCAGCCCTCTGTCAAGAATGGCGGTTTAGCAAATGTTAGTACAGAGACACAGCCTTAACATATATGCGTTTACGTCACATTCGATTGTGGAAAATTTGAACGAGTATGATTTTTTTTCTTTCTTAATAACGAAACAGTTGCTCTGACTTGGAACTGTATTTAATATTGCATTCTGTCTGAATTTAAATAAACAAATAAAAATAAAATATTCATGGTCCAAAAATACAAACCTCTCCTTATAACTTGCAGTAATTCAGGTCTCTTCGTGCTTTTTACATTGGTGCTCATTCAGTAAACGGTCATTTGTGGGAAAAGTTTAATTTAAAAAAATCTAAATAATAAAAACAGCTAATTGCGACAACGTCATATTTTTATTATTATTTATAAAGCACCAACAAATTCCGCAGCACAGTACAATAGGTGGACTAACTATATAATACCTTCCTTTTCCATAGTTCCATGAGCAATATTGTCAGAACATGATTATGGCTTTACTAATAAAGGATGACAAATGGTGATAGTTTTTGGTTTCTAATCCTGACACAACTGACCTGGTTTTCCTCATCTTGGATAACGTTGAGCAGAAGGGCCGCCTGGTCTTCCTCCAAACACTTCTGGCATGTCACAATTAATACATTAATATCTTCTTCCTTAAAATCATCTTCAGGCAGTATACGCTGTAAAATTACACTTCACAATTAGAAACAGCTTGCACGTATAATTAAACAGACAAACAAGCGAGTATTTCACGCACATACATCACAATTATGGTATTTACATATTTTCATTAAATTATGCTTGTCCTCCGCAATATGTGGAATACAATATAACTAAATTTACATATTAAGCTAGTGAAAGCAACACCAAATAGTGTATACTATTTCTATGACATTTTCTTTCCAGTTTTGAACAATTTGTCTCGTTCCAAGAATTCTATGCAAATGACGGCCACCATGTAACATGGACACTCTCAGTAACATAACCATTACAGTTTAGTGCAGTGGTCATGTTGCCAAGAGTCTTTGGACTTCATCCCCCAGTTCCTTGTCAAACTATTTGGTTCAACATGACAAACTCCAGGACTCTACCCCACTGCCACAGACTGCCCCTTCCTTTGTTGTGTTGATAATGTGGTTTTAACACGTCTATATTATCATCATCAATTCTGTTCAAACTGAAAGGCTGAGACTGATCTGCCAGACTAAACGGACATCGAGAAGGCAGAAATGCACCGGGGCAGATGTCAGACGCAGTGTAGAGCCCCATCCAAAAGGATGTGGGAAATGTGCGGAGAAATTCTTGAAAATATAACCAGTACACTCAGCTCTAGTGGTTATGTTGCTTCGATTGCCCATTTAATCATGGCGCACTAATGCGCACAAATAATGTATACGTTCAAGGGAAACTGTCACTATTCTGGAATTTGGACAACTAAATAAAACATTGAAAAATACCTATAACTTGTGTTAGTCGTTTTATTATTCACAAGATTCTCAGTTTGCTTTTAAATGTGCATTAAGGCTTTTGCAAATTATACCATAGCTTAGTATAGACAAGACAAAGCCAGAGCAAACATTGTAAATAAGGAGAAGAAATAAAACCTCATCACATCTCTCCTCTCTTCTATATACTTCCAATGTGCTGACTGACAGGGGCCAAGGACTGAACTTGTAACAATGATTGACAGGGAGCTAAAATGGGGGGGGGCACCCATTTGCAGGATAAAGAGGTGTGGAACAAACATATTTGTTAATTACTTGGTAAACATGATACTAAAATTACTAAAAAGTGACAGTTTAAAATATCAAAATTCTATGCATGCAGTTGAACTAAATGCAACCTTACTGTTTACCACGAAAGAAGCACTTAACTACTCAATCTAAGCACCATAACCACTAAAGCCTGCTGTAGTGATTATGATGCCAGGAGTAACTTGTTAAAGGACCACTCTAGGCACCCAGACCACTTCAGCTTAATGAAGTGGTCTGGGTGCCAGGTCCTTCTAGGGTTAACCCATTTTTTTATAAACATAGCAGTTTCAGAGAAACTGCTATGTTTATCAATGGGTTAAGCCTTCCCCTAATCCTCTAGTGGCTGTCTCATTGACAGCCACTAGAGGCGCTTGCGTGCTTCTCACTGTGATTTTCACAGTGAGAGCACGCAAGCGTCCATAGGAAAGCATTGTAAATGCTTTCCTATGCGACGGGCTGAATGCGCGCGCAGCCAGCCCAGGAGGAGGATCGGAGGAGGAGAGGAGACAGAGAGCTCCCCGCCCAGCGCTGGAAAAAGGTAAGTTTTTAACCCTTTCCCCTTTCCAGAGCCGGGCGGGAGGGGGTCCCTGAGGGTGGGGGCACCCTCAGGGCACTATAGTGCCAGGAAAACGAGTATGTTTTCCTGGCACTATAGTGGTCCTTTAAGTCAATGAATTGGTCAAACACTGGACGAAACCGATACGCTTGTACCAAATAGGTACTTCTTTTAGCTCTACCTGTTAAAAAGGGTGGATTGCATGCAACCCGGGGACCTGGGAAGGTGTCATACCATTCAAAAAAGTTTGACTTTTAACAGTGGGATAGCACCAGGTAAATCCAGGCACCATAACAAATACATGCCGCTTAAAGTGCAGTTTTAAGCCTCTCAAACCTTGACATATTATCTTACTTACAAGTTTCTGAAGGATCTGTTGAAGATCTACAGCTGCCATTATGCAAGACACTTCAAATTAATGTAGGAAGGGCTAGAAAAGGAAAAATATATATATGGTGTAATTAAGCAACATAAATATTAGTGCTAATTTGTACATGCGTCAGTGAATCAGAGTCTGCTACTGTAATCAGGGTGTCATTTTTTTTCCCCAAATATAATCAACCATTTCTATTTACTACATAGAAAATCTAACAGAATAGGTTCCCTAATGTAGATGCAGGTACCAAAACACAGATGCCATTTGAAGAACAGTGTCTAGCTTTTCCAGTCCATCAGAGCCAAATATCTAGCATTATACTTCTATAGTAACCTACAATATTACCTTTTCCCTAACATATATGTCGGTTTGGGAGATGGATATTGACACCTCAGAGGGGGCTTCAACCTCATCGGACATTTGGGAGGCTATTTCAACTTTAACCATATGCATGAACCATAAAGAACAAGCATACAAAGCGCTTTTCAGATGGTAATTCACCCGATCCATCTGTTTTGGGTATTTGGAAACTCATCACACATACCTGCTGGAAGAATTGTGGGAATAGGGGTTCCTTTATACCTTTATGGTGGTATTACCCACAGATAAAACTCATTATGGTACCAAGTAGCATGTTTAACCTTCACAAATACTTGAACAAAGTGGACCCCTGGATCTGGCTGCTGAATACACCGCTAGAAGGGCTTATACAGACAAATTGTTAGCTAAAATTACATTCCCTACAAGAAAAGCGATTGCTGAGTTATAAGGGGTTACTCAGGACCTGACTTCAGTGACCCGAGAAACAAAAAAAGCAATGGAAATGGACAAGCTTACAGCTTTAGTTCACAACACCTTTTAAGCAATTTTATAAAGTCTGGGACCTATGGCTTATAGTTGCCCAAATAGCTCTCCTCAGCTCCACTTCCCTCCTATGTATGTGCTTTCATTCCAGATATATTCCTTGCTCACTATCGTGGATTGCAATTTTTGTAATCGCACCATGGTGATTAAACATTGTGCTACACCTACATCACATAAAAAAAAAAAAAACGATCCCTCTATTTACTGAATAGTTAACCTAATATTGATTAAGATCTTCTCTATTTACTGCACAGAAATCCAGCGTGAATGCAGTGGGTGTCGCAGGCTGAAACAGAGTTTCAAAATTATTATTTTTACCATTAGAGTGTTTTATTTTATTGGTTTGCATTATGGACATCACTTTAAAAATAAAAACCATAAAACTTACCGGTAATCCATTACTTGGAAGCATTGGGGATCTACAGCACATGCGCAGTAATTACCACACTCCGTCAATGAGACAAATTAGTGGGATTAGGCAAATGTGAGACCATTACTTGATCTTGATAAAGTGTCAGCGAACCATGTTGATTGTTATGGCATGATTGTATTTTGGAGCCTGTTACTTTAGGTCAGGTTTTTTGTTTGTTTTTTACAATTTTGAATAATGATTTTTCTACGTATACAGAACATGCAGCTAATACATTGTGAGAATCACCTGCATTTTTTTAATTTTACTTTACTAAAGTAAGAAGTGCCACTAGTGCCCATCAATCTAACAGTCACGAGAGCCATGTTCTTTGACAAATGTAAACAAACATCCAGTATCTCAGAAACACAAAATCTTTTACATTGTCAGAAAAGGGGAACGCATGCATGTACGCAAATCTTTAAGACAGCAGTTTTGGTGCTCAGAGAGTCCATTCAAACCAAAGCATTTAACTGGCAGTACTTTAAAAAGTACCCCCCCATTACTGTAATATTTACACATCCATGAAAATAATAATAATAATAATAACTTTGACAGCTCCACTTCAAGTCACAATATTATCTAAAATGTTTAAGTGAAGACTTCTACCAAGACTTTGACTGTCCACACATTTACACCTCTGTGAGTGCAAAGCAAAATGTCTAAAACATATTTTGTAGTAAAATCCAATTAGTAGTGAAAAAAATGAAAGAGGTTCCTGACAAAGAGCCACCGTGCTTTAAGACAAAAGGCACCAGGGACATCACAGGAATGAGCAATCAGGGAGTTTATTGTTGGGGAATGAAAACAAAACATGTTCTGTCTATTTTCTAGAATGATGGCTGGTTCCTAAAATCCCTCTCCCTATAGCAACTGACAGTTCACCCAGACACTCCAGCCATTAGACTGACAATAACAAACCTGGATGGCAGTGTCTCTGTGTAGATGGCTGTCACTGTGTCGCCACCCAGGGCTGCAGCAAGCACACAAGCGACATGTGGCACCAGGGAGAATTATCAAACAGAGCCTGAGCATGGGGGAGGCTCACTGGGCATGCCAAGCCTCGTATTGTCCTGTCTTTCCTGGTATTCCCAGAGAGAGGCTTGGAACGCCAATGCAGGGAGGAAATCGAGGCTTGGAACGCGAAAAACGGGAAGGAGATTGAGGCTTGGAACGCAGACACAGCGACGAGCTTGGAGCTTGGGACTCGGACACCGGAAAGAGATTGGGGCTTGAAACGCAGACACAAAGCTGAGATTGAGGCTTGGAACGCAGACACAAAACTGAGAGTGTGGCTCGGAACGCAGACACAAAATTGAGATTGAGGCTTGGAACGCAGACACAAAACTGAGATTGAGGCTTGGAACGCAGACACAAAGCTGAGATTGAGACTTGAAACGCAGACACAAAGTTGAGAGTGAGGCTTGGAACGCATGTCTCATCTGCTGGTTTAGTCTGATGTGGCTGGCAGAGGGTACATTGGAGCAGAGACATGGCAGAGAGGAGGAGAAGTTCGGCTAAATCACCCAAGTCTGCCAAGAAGAGTTCAGGTTGGTCTGTTTTACAGTTAACAGTTGTGTGTGTGTCCCTTTTACTCGCCGTGTTATTGGGTTACTTTGTATCACTTTGTATCAGTGGGTGGGGAGTGAGACCTGAGGTTGGGGATGGTTGTGGTAAATTATAATAAATATAGGTGTTTGTATATAAGAACATGGTGTTACTTTATAGCACATACATACATACATACATACAGTTTAATCTTTGTAATACTCTACCTAGATTGCTAATGCACCTGTAGTCTTAAACAGATATTATTTGCATCAAAACAACTTTAGCTTAATGAAGCAGTATTGGTGTAAATATCATGTCCCTGCAGTCTCACTGCTCCATTCTTTGCTGTTTAGGAGTTAAATCATTTTTGTTTCTGTTAATGCAGCCCTAGACAGACACATACCATGTGACTGACACAGCCTCCATGAACATGTTGTTTTAAATCTTATTCGCTTTTGAAGTTTGTAACTCCAGCTCTGTTAGTTTAACTTTAATCACACACAAAACTCCTGCAGGCTATTAGCATATTCACATATAAGAAATTCTAAATTAAATATACTGTGCCTTATAGGATATTTTAAACATTAGATCTAGCTTTATTGGAAGTGTTTACGAAGGCTTTGCCAGTCATAGCCAGGGGAGGTGTGGCTAAGCCTGTATTAACAAAGTGATTTCAAGTGATCATGGTGGTAGTAACCGGGATGTGCAGTGTTTTGGCTTGAAACACTGTGCATTCTGAGTGATTGGCATGTATGTGCCAGAGGCAAGTTTAATTCACAGCACATATGACTTAAACAGCACAGATCTCTCTTCCAGGCTATGCATGAATTACGTCTGTTATCAGTGTGCACTGCACACTGTCAACGGACATTAAAGGACCACTATAGTGCAAGGAAAAAATACTCGTTTTCCTGGCACTATAGTGCCCTGATGGTGCCCCCACCCTTAGGGTCCTCCTTCCGCCCGGCTCTGGGGAGAGGAAAGGGTTAAAACGTACCTTTTCTCCAGCGCCGGGCGGGGAGCTCTCCGCCTCCAATCCTCCTCCTCCTTTTCGGCTGAATGCGCACGCGCGGCAAGAGGTGAGCGCGCATTCAGCTGGTCTCATAGGAAAGCATTTACAATGCTTTCCTATGGACGCTTGCGTGTTCTCACTGTGATTTTCACAGTGAGAATCACGCAAGCACCTCTAGCGGCTGTCCATGAGACAGCCGCTAGAGGATTTGGAGGCTGGATTAACCCTAACATAAACATAGCAGTTTCTTTGAAACTGCTATGTTTATAAAAAAAAAAGGGTTAATCCTAGAGGGACCTGGCACCCAGACCTGGCACCCATTAAGCTGAAGTGGTCTGGGTGCCTAGAGTGGTCCTTTAATTACACCTATTTCTTATGAGACCTATTTTTAATATCTAAAAATGTGTGATTTTTCTCAGGAAGGGTAATAGAAAATACTACTACTTTACTATAGTGAAATTAAAACAAAATAAGTGAGGCAACACTTTATTATTTATTTTTTTTTTTTTTAAAACATGGATCACTTGTTAGTGAATACCCCTGAAATTATTCAGGGCCCAAAAACCAAACTCTGATAGGTATGGCATATTAACGGAACAGATCACTGCCCAAATAAAATATAATTATTTAGTAGATATTAGACATACCCCAATAAAAAAAAATGCATCCATTTAATTATGTATTTTTTTTCATTGGCCATCGGTAGCTTCCCCAAACCTGCACAAACCTCTTTAACAGACCTGTTCTACTTTTGTCCTCTGCTATCCACTATTGGGGACATCACATACCCTAGAAAACACAGCACATTATTTTTATTGAAATCTGCACTTTTTGTAAAATGGAAAAAGGACACCCTCTTCACACATAAAGCACTTCAGCAAGCTTTAGGTGTTTGGAGTGATCCTTTTAGATTGCTTTGTAAGTTTGTATGGCCTTTAATTGATACTTCAAGCTCGGGGAAAGAGTTGGCAAGCACACAATGGTTAACTGTTGTGGGGCACTGTTCAGCACTGTTGTCCAGCACTTTTCTTTCATTTACAGATAAAAAGTGTGTGGGGTTTTTTCTTCCACCAACGAATCTTCCCTTCTTATTCTGCTTTTGCTTATAAGAGCTGAGATTGGTGAACTAAGTGTGCCATCAAGAAGCCTTGAGATATGCCCAGTAATCAGGCCTGCGCAAGGTGCTACAAATTATTTTGTGTTACTCAGGAGTTCTATGGCATTATATATATTTTGGTGATTTTCTTGTGATGGTTTTTATGAAGCAAGCCAACAATAAAGTAACCTGGGACAGCAGGATCCCAGATGAACTGGCACTGAGTTAACCTCCGTGTCCAGTAGAAAGTCTAATAGTGTTCACATGTATAGAAAGTTTGTTCTATTTCGCATATTCTAAGTGCAATTTCGGTTTTATAGGCAAGTCCCCAAGCAGCGACTTGAACAGTGAAGAGGCTGCCAAGAGGTAATGTAAATGCATTGTATTATAATTTTTCATCCTATCTCATTGAAGGGAACTGGTAGCAAAAACTTTCTACTAGCTGCCTACTACAAGACTAGCACCACTGGTTGTCCTTATAAATGTACCATGGTAAATGCCTCTTATAATGTATTCACAAATCTTTGCCATAAAATAAATGTTTTATTTACCTTTTTCCAGTGCCGAGACTCCTTCTGTGCTGCTCACCGCTCTACTGCTTGCGAAATCATTGAGGAGGCATTACCTCCTCCACTGTTGGTCCATTCCAATGCTCCCAATTGAGGAGCATTATTGACCTAATGTGTATACACGGTGAGCACCACATTCACATCCAAGTTTCCTCCTAGGAAAACATTGAATTCATTGCTTTCCTATAAGCTTCCGCATCACGTAACCATGTTTTACTCAGTGCTGCAGAAGCGCCTCTAGTGACCTATCAATACGTCAGACACTAGAGGTGGATTTAACCATGCAATGTAAATCTTGCAGTTCCTAAAAAAACTGCAGTGTTTTACATTGCTGGATTACAATGAAAGAGCCACTGCACCCAGACCACTTCATTGAGTTGAAGTGTGTGACAATTGGAGGAAATGAAAGAGGAGCAATATTAAAGGAAAATCAGACAGACAGGATTATTCATTATGGACTGTAGGGTAGCATCACGTGAAGGAAAGCATTGGATTGGCTAAGAATGTCAAGGAGGCATATCAGGGGCAGAGCCAGCACAAGCCAAACACATCCCTGGCCAATCAGCATCTCCTCATAGAGATGTATTGAATCCGCACATCTCTATGAGGAAAGTTCAGTGTCTCTATGCAGAGGGTGGAGAAACTGAATGTCAGTGCTGCACATTGCGCCCCAGGAAGCAACTCTAGCAGCCATCTGAGGAGTGGCCTCTGGAGGTGTCCCTAGGTTGTAATGTAAACATTGCATTTTCTCTGAAAAAACAGTGTTTACTGCAAAAAGTCTGAAGGGAATGGTTCTACTCACCAGAATAAATGCAATAAGCTGTAGTTGTTCTGGTGACTAAAGTTCCCCTTTAAATAAAGAATGAAGTTAAAAAAAAAATCTAGATCAAAATATCGTTAAATATGCATGCTTGATGCTTTCCACAGGAGAGCTGCCTTGGAAAATGCTATTAAGCGCAAGATTGAAAGAGAAAAGAAGGCTCTGCAAATCGTTGAACGCCTCCTTGAGGATGATGTTACAGAAGATTTTCTGCTGGACTGTGTAAGATTTGTCAAAGTTTGTAAACTATGTAAAGTTTTTAATATTTTTTTCTCAATGCCCTGCTTACGGCAGGGTATACTAAGAGGAGGAATAAGTAATATATACCTTCATTAATCCATTAAGGATGAGGGAAACCGCTTTGTGAACAGCCGTACCAAGTCTTCTATCAGTTCACCAATGATTCGTTATTTAGTGAATTATGCTTATGACTTTTAGGCCTGTATTAATTCAATTTTATTTTGAAGTATCGGTTTTATATGCCCAATAAAATTGTGACTTGCAATATAAACCTATAGTTTTCTAAACTTATTTCCAAATAAGACATTTAACTAGTGGTTTCCTCACTATCCCATTCTTCAGATGTGTATTTTAATTTCTAGCCTCAGTCAGAATTTCACTAAGCATGAGTTGTAGTCCAGCAGGAGCTGGCAATTTCTTGCAGCAGGATTCTGTGTGTGTAGCTAGCCCAGCTATAGGCAGTCTGCTCAAGGCGTCTGATGTCAGCACACAGAGTATGCTAACCCAGACACAAAAGTTGTACAAAACTGATATTACCATTCTGGAAGTGAGTAATCCAGCAGGCTGATTGACAGTCAAGGGAGGTGACCCTACAAACACAAGTAAAAAGTAGAGAAAAGTCAAAATCCCAGTCACCTACTCCACTGGAGGGGGTCAATGGGAAAGAGTACAGCCTAATAGATTAGTAGCTAAAACGAGAGAGAGAAAACCCAACCTTTATTATTATTCATATGCTTGAGCCACTAAATCCACAAAAGGACCCTTATATAGAGTATACAAAGTGTCTAGGAACCAGGTAATATATGTTAATAAGTGAACAGACAAATCCAGGGGTATATACTGAGGGGAAGCCCACTCACATCAATCAGATCAAGATAGTGGGTCTAAAATCCAAAAGAGAGGGGAAACAAAGCCTATACCGTAACTAGATAGCTC